CACCATAAGTGGGTGCCTCTCTCTGCTGTCCGGATTCAATGATGCCACCATTGAGCTGTCTGAGGAGAAAAATGTATCCGGGTCCAAGGTTGTGCCCCTCCTCAAAATGCTGGAGCAAATGCTTCAAGAGGAGATGGCAAAAACTGCAGAAGCAGTGGCAAAAGAAATGGGAGAACACCTATTAAGGCAGCTAAGAGAGAGGCTCCACACACTCCAATCAATGAGCATAATGTCATTGGCAACACTACTGGACCCTAGGTTCAAATTGATCGGGTTTTTTAGCCCTTCAAAAGCTGCAGAAGCCACAAAAAGGCTTGTGGCTGAATGTGGTGCACTGATCCGAACACCTGAAGATGTGCAGCCAGAAGAAAATCTATCCACATCTCAACCTGAACAAGAAATCCCAGGTAATTTTATTAATTTTAAATCAATTTGAAGTAATTACTACAACATCCACTGACACTCTCCGTGTATACTTTTCAGGAAACAAACTCTGGCAAAAATTGGATCGGACTGTAAAGCTGTCCAGAAAGACCAAGAATCCAACAGCTGACGCAACTGTTGAAGTCCAGCGGTACCTGGCTGAACCAAATATCGGACGCTTGGAGGACCCTCTGAACTACTGGCAGACACAAAGACATGTGTATCCAAACTTATATACACTTGCTGTCACTTTCTTGTGCACACCTGCTTCCTCAGTCCCGTGTGAAAGGGTATTTTCAAAGGCAGGAGAAGTTGTGTCCAAGAAAAGAAATCGCCTAAGCCCGAAAAGTGTGGAAAAAATATTGTTTTTAAACAAAAACCAATAAAATTGTTCCATGTATCACAAGCATTTTCACTGGCCTCTGCAAAGTCACACAAGCACATTCACTGGCCTCTGCAAAGTCACACAAGCACATTCACTGGCCTCTGCAAGTTACACAAGCATATTCACTGCCCTCTGGCAAGTTAAACCCTTGTTCTTTTCCAGTTTTCGAACATATATTGCTTCTTTTGTCTTTATAGAAGGCAGCAGACATTTACATTTATTTATGTATAGATGTAACAAGATACTATATTGACACTGTTTTTATTATTATATACAGTCATTTTAAAACACTTACTGGTGTAAAATTCTGTTCATACAGGATGACAAATACATTTGACATCTTTTACCTTTTTGTATCATTATTTCCAGTATTTTTAGTATGTCAAAGATTACAAATAATATGTGGCTGTTTTACACCTGTTCACCAACAGGGGGTCTTGTGAGCACATTAAGCCCATGATGAAGCTTCATGAGATGAACCTTTTAGCGAACCGATTTGCTGGAAAGCTTCAAAGCTTCATGAGGCTTCATCTCGTCATCACTAGTATATAGTGCCGCGCACATATACCATCAGGACGTTACTGATGTGGTGCGGCTGCGGAGTGATACTGGGTGTATGCAAGCCCGCATCTTGAACGCATGTATGCAGTGGCGGCCGGTGGTCTTTTTTTTTGGTGGGGCTCTTGACGTACCGTAAGTGACCTACCCGGGGGGTCCGGGGGGTTTCCCCCCGGAAATTGTTTTCGAGAAATGACCCCTTAAATGATGACTTCTGGTGATGTTAGAGGGGGGGGGAAAGGAGAAATCGAGGCTTAAAAATATGAGAAGACTGATCAATACCTCCATAATCTTCAGTGTGGAAAATATTATTTATCAACCTCAACATCTACTACTTTACCAGGAATTTGTGTTCTCAGAACTGGTCTGTTTTTTTCTTTCTTAAAACTGTTCATGTTTTATGAACCAACACCTTCACCAAGTAGCTTTACAGTGAACTGCATGTGAGATATAAAATTAATAGCATCTTTTCAGTAGCATTAATTATAAATATTTAAGTGGTTCAATACAAGTCACTACAGCATTTCAAACTGAACTGTGAATAAATGCAATTTAAAAAAAATAACCACAGCACAAAATGTCATAAATTGTGTTTTTTCTTTGTTTCTCTGAGGATTATTTACAAACAGGCTTATTTACATATAGCAATAACTCAGAAATGAAAAAGCTACATCGTCTAACACGAACAACCAGTTAGCATAATGATAATATATGTGTTATGTACAATGTAACTGGCAAGGCTAGAGCAAGAAAGAACATAAAGTTTGCAAAAGGTTTAAATAACTTCAAGTATCTGTCTTCAGATTACGTGGAGGTTTTAGTCCGATGGGAAGCAGATTTTAAGCGACACCGAAGATAAACCAAAAATGTGGTGGAGCTGCAAACCGTGTAGTGTTGCTGGGACAGAACAGGAGCTATAACCGTTGGAAAATACATCACAGACAATGCAACAAACGTGGAGACAGAACAATCACTTCTGTGATAAATGCCCACTTATTAATAAACTTCTAACAACCATGGGAAACCTCCTCTCTACATATAAAGTGATATCCAAGCATGGGAAACAAAAGACAGCATTTACCTGTTTGCATCCAGCTAGCCAAGCCTTTCTTGTGTACCAGCTACTTGTGAAGCCTCGTGTATAAATGTTGTCTTTTTCACGAGATTGCTGCGATATATTCAAATCGGGTTGGTCCGGTGCAAGGTCTTTAAGCAACAATTTATCTGCCAAACTTCTCCTTTCGAAAGGATTGGAGATTAGCTCTTGAACAGAATTAGCCGGGGACCGAGGTCCGGAGACTCCACCTGCACACGAAGCCATCCTCATCAACTACTGCGTCAACCGGATACGAGTCACTGTCCAAACTACTCACAGACTGCACTGGGCGCTGACATTGGCGCCTGGTGACCGTCATCTTTGACGACGCTGATTGGCTGAAATTATATTTTCGCGGCATAGTTTACACGTTACAGATAGCAACAGTCAGCTGCTAGTGGCTGATGCTGCACTGGTTGAAGGCTCCTCTCTTAGCGCCCAGACGAGAGAAGGTGCATGGGCAAGGCCAGGCAGGAAACATGTGACTTATCAGTAACTTTAGACATCGTAACACAATTTTAAACGAGATTTTATTGTAGATTATACATTTTACTGATACCAATTATATAATATTTACCTTGTTCATTAAAAATAAAAATAAAAACATATATTTTTTTTTAAACATATTTTTTTTTTTTTATTTTAATTTTAATTATTATTTTTATTTTTTTTCAATATGGGAAGAGGTGGGGCGGCGCCCCTAGCGCCCCTATGGACCGGCCGCCACTGCATGTATGTATCATGGCTGAAGACTTGCTAAGTAAATAAAGATGCCCCATACAAAGGTCTACGGATACCTTATTACTCTCCTTGACCTGCGGTCAACTATATAGCATAAAGGACTATTACAAAAAGAAAGTACACTTGCCTGAAAACGAGGTTTTAACAAAACCCCCTCTTCCTTTGCAGCAAAAACTCCCGTCTCCCTTAACGTCGACACTATAGTCTTTTATGTTGTCTTTCACCCTTCTATCCCCGACAATAGACACAGCGAAATGCTCAGCAATTAAGAGCAGCTGCTCCCTTGAAAAAGTGCCAAGCAACTCCTGAGACGGAGCTTCAATAAATGCCTCTACGTCAGCCATATTAATTTACAACGACCCCTCACCGGAACACAACACCGGACATTTAAACCGAGAGATGAGAAAAAAAAAGGAAAAAAAAACACAAAAACGTATTATGCTTATTATGCGTGATGCGTCCAAAGTGGAACAACACTAATGTTCTGATTGGAGTTTCCCCACTAACTCACCATCCCACTGACTAATCTCCTCCCTAGTCTTCATGCAGTTACTTGTGGTGGGTATTTATGCACCGGAGACCGCTGGCCCAGCAAAGCGACTAGCAAGCTAGCAACACTACTGTGACCACGGCCATGCTCCCAAGCCGAAGCTTCAACCACTTTCTCCGCAACACTACACACCCCGCTCAACAATCCCAAGGGAACCGCCGCTTAACCTGCCAGGGAAAACTCCGCACCGCTCCGCACTGCTCCACCTGCAACGCACCAACAAACCCCGAGAGAAAAAGGAGAAAAAACAACAAAACAAACAGCTGACCACGGCTAAGAACAACTAGCAACCACTCTCCCGAAATATAATACCAAACAAATCAAAGCCTCACAAAGTAATCAAATATGTCCCCAAACAACGATCTGAAATCTAATGTCCTTCCCACAACGAGCCGAAACAAAGAAACCGGCCGCACTGCAAACGCGCTCCCAACAAACTTTATACCCGCGCACCAACTCCCAACACAAATCTTACCTATCCGTTGCTGTATCACAGATAAAAGAAGTGGACGAGCCCCCATCTGTCATGGCCTGGCTCTTGGCCATAACAAAAAGCGAGGGAAGGACGAGAACATATATGAAAAATATATTTATTAACAAAAGTTTAACGTAAACCAAAAAAAACTAACACAAAGGACAGGCAAAAAGGCTAAGCGACGTGGCTGCTCCGCGGTCAGGTCCTCTGCGGGAGAGAGAGATCGAGACTCTGCCTCCGGCCTCTTTATCCTCCGCCAGCCGTCAGGTGTCCTTAATCAGGGCGTCAGGTGTCCCCAATCAGGGCGTCACAAGCAGAGGAGAAACATTAAAGGGCCATGCACACCACAGGAGACAACAAGGCAGGGGTCGTCACAGACAGTCTCTGGTTTAAACAGGAACATTAATAACCCTGATTTAATATGAGCTGCTGTAGAGCTCTGTTCTCCTCTCTGATTCCCGTCAGACCGTCAGAGACCACAGGAGCACAATCTCAACACTGACAGGTTTTTGTAACAGAGCGTCACAAACTCTACACTCAAGTTGAAATGTGTCACGCTGCACAAATACGCAGGTGATATGAATTTAACATTTTCACTTCCTTCGTGTTGCCAGGCACGGATCTGGGTCTTTGCATTGACTACACTTTTCAAACCTTGAAAACACCACATGAAATTTCAAGCATTTTCAAGGATTTCCAGCACCCGTACAAACCCTGATTAATGATTACATTGCATGCTGTGTGATAAACCCCTTTAAAGAAATGAAAGTGATGGTGTTTTTATTACCTTTATTTACAGAACAGAACATACAACAAAGATACAGACAAACATAAGACAGATGCTATCTATAGCACACATCGGAACAAGTAGATTTGAAAGAAAGTGAACATTTGTGAAATAGGAAAAAGCATGTACACAATCTAGGATGATATACAATTAATGAAATCTTCGATGCAAATGCATATATGTATTGTATGTGCAGTCCCAAACAGATTAAAAGAGATTAAAATATCAGACAGAAGGAATGTGTGATTGTTGAACTACAATACCCACAATGCATCTGCAGCATACACAATCTATGATCTGCAGAGATTCATTAAATGAGTGAGCAAGGCTGAGGGGAAGATATCGGAGAACAGATTGAAAAGCAAACATGAACCCCAGCCTGCGACCTCTAGCTGACAGAAACACTCCTGTCGGCCAGTCTGCTCTTAATGTTTGAGATCTGATCCAACTGCGCTTCAAACAGCTGCTGCGTCTGCGATAAAACAGATTTGTGTTATCAGTAGAAGACACTTGCTTTTCTAGCCTGGATTTCCTTTACACAACAGTCCTTTGCTGCACCTTAAAACATTGATGGCGTGACAAACAAAAAACACTCAGCTTTAAACCTCAATTAACCTTTTTAACAACATACTCTTCAACGTATAAAAATTGTATACGGACATGTCACTTTTAAGTCCTTTTTAAAAGACATTTACCAGTTTCAAGTTACCACATCTTGCAAGTATATAACCTATACAACCTCTGGTCTAGGCTGAGGTTAAAGGTAGGGTAGGTAAGAATGGAGAAACCAGCTCGAGTGCGCTAGAATTTGAAAGTACGCAGCCGAAAATCTGCCCCTTCCTTCAGACTTCCTTACAGAGCCCCTCCTCCAACACACACGAACGCACACGTGACATGACCAATGAGGGCACGAGATAAGTTTGTGCACGAGATGGAAGGCTGACAGGCAGGTAGGCCATCCAGTTATTTTAGCCGGGCCGGCTCAGATAATTGGTCGTGCTTTTTACAGCGCCACAGATGACATTTTTTAATGTATTTATTGTCAAAGCATTTAATGTATTCATTGCTATCGGGATGTTAAGAGCATTCCATGGAATATAACAAAAAGTGTTTCTGAAGTGAATTACCTACCCCACCTTTAAGTACTGGGATTTTACATGCAGAAAAACATTTTGACTCTCACCTCATTCATGCTCTCTCTGAGGGGCTTCATGTCGAATGTAAGAGTGGAGGCTTTCACCATCGAGCGGCGATTCAGGATGTAACTGCAGAGGAAAGACAGGAGAGGAGAGTTTTGAATGAGCAAGTGAAATCAGTCACTTATGCATGTTTACTCAAATATAAACCAAGATCATGATTTTGGCATCCCCACAATTAAATGTACATTATCGACCGTGAAATGCATGCTTTAAATGTGTGTTCCTGAAGTAAAGGTAGTAAAGTAAACACAGCAAAATTCAGGTAAACAACAGCCCTATTTTAGGTCTGATTCTAATGCAAATAGTTGCACAACATGGAAGTGAAAGCAAATAATGATTTTGGCCATAACCGTGCAGCCCTATCCCTTATGTAATGTCCAAAACACAATTGAGCAGAAATTGTCTGTGTTTCGTCTCTAACCTGATCTTTAAAAACGCAGAGCATGCAATGGACAACAGGTGTTTATTTGAGACAGCGGTAAACACAGAAGTCAATATGCTCACCAGCTGATGTTCTTTTTTTGGAGCAGGAACATGGAGCGAACAGCAGCGAGAGAGGGGGGAGCGGAGTGGATCACTGAACCCACAGCGGAGCCGCAGCCTCGGCATTTCAGAGAGCTGGAGATGCTGAAAGCAAACAAACAGCTGTGAAAACATACAGGAAACGGGAAGATAGGTCATCCAGGTTTTTTTATGTACTCACCACCTCGCCATTTTCCCTTTATGTCCTGACTTCATGGCATCACTGACCACCACGTCATCGGTCACTCCTGAAGGTTCAGGAGCAGACAAATGTGGATTAATATTATATTACAGGGAGAGCACAGTAAACCTGCAAAACACACATGGACAGGTTTGTAAAGCAACACTAATACATTAAAATACCAAAAAAGACCTTAGTACTTCTACTTTGACTCAAGTACAAGATCTGAGTACTTCTACTTTTGTACAAGATCTGAGTGCTTCTACTTTGACTCAAGTACCAGATATGAGTACTTCTCCCCGCTCTGATTTTAACTGTATAGATAGATAGTGAACTTACTCAAACACACGATCGAGTCCACACACTCCCCACACACACTGAGGGAGTCCCCCAGCACGGTGTTGCACTGCAGACAGTGGAGAGTCATCCTATGTGTGTGTCCGTCTTCTGCACACATCTCATCTGCACGGGCGATTAAAAGACTGCCATGAAACTCCATCTTTATTCACTTTTACAGAGCTTTGTTGTCCCGCTTGTGGATTTGAACCAAAAACAACCCGTCTTCTTCTTTGGTTTTAGAGGCGGTGCGTTGCATTACCGCCCACTACTGGTGATAAAACTAACTCCTCAAAAAAAAAGCTATTATAACCTTTTATTTTTATTTTATTCAATTACATAATTGATTTTGTATACAAAACATTTGAGTGGTGGACATATAAAGCAATACAAACATTTAAATAAATAAATAAAAATACAGTTTTATATTTCACACGAGTGCCTGATTGGCTGCGAGGCACATCCAAAACATGAGAGAAACGCCGATTTACTAGCAACAATCATCTGTAAAAATGTAAATAAAGAAACCTTAGCCTTAAAAAACAATTGTTTAAATTATTTTAAACGTTGAAAAATTAGACCAACCGTTAATCGATGAACGGATAAAATAATGTCAAAAATGTGCCATCTCTCTGATTGGCTGCGAGGCACATCTTGTCAGACACGGGAGCCAATCAAACGGCTCCTCCTGCTGTGTTTTGAATCGCAGTATTTTTTAACCGTCAGCTCCTCCACACCTCCCTCAGAAACTTAACGTGTGTGCTGGTTTTCTCTTATAATACGGAATAAAATATAACAAAACCATGGATTTGGACTCTATGAAATATGCCGATCTGAGAAGCATCGCGAAGGAGCTCGGGCTTAAAGGGAATGTGAAGGTAATGGAGTTGTAATGTTTACATTAAATCAGAAATAGATGTTTTTTTTCAACTGTGTTAAGGCTAACGGTTACTGGAAGCTAACGTCTGCATGTGTGTACCTGGGCGAAATATACTCAATAACATTACGTTTCTTTCTGCTAAAACAGGCTGACAAACTCCTGAAAGCGATCAAGCAGCATTATCGTCAAGAAAAGGACAAAGAGGAGGAAGTGCAGGTAATTTAACCCTGACAAATGACACTGTTTTATTGCTAAATCTGCCTTAAATCATGTCCTTTTTTTATTTAAACATCGTACATAGCCTATATTGTTCTCACATCGTACCTAATTTCATTAAAATGTAATACAACTGCAACTCATTTGCACACTCGTGCCGTGTATAAAGTATCCTTTGTTTATATGTTTTAGTAGTAGGTCGATTTTTTTATAATGTACTGGGACTTTTTCTGTCTCTTTTATATTGTACGATATATATCTATAGATATATCTTTCTACTGTTATATATATATATCTGTATATGTATGTACAAATCTGCAAATACTTTTTGGTCTTACGTTTGTTTATAATAGTGATTGGTAACTTATTTTGTATTATATTGTACATAGAGTATCTATTGATATACATTATCTTTCTACTGTTTATTTTTATACTTTTTTTAATAAAAAATACATGTATACATGTCTTGTTAACATTCTGCTTTAAAAATGTCCCAATTTGAGACCCACACAGATCTTAATATGTATTGTGTACTCATTGTTGTATTATTCTGGTGTTTTTCAGGAGCAAGAGAAAGATGTCCCTGCTGCTGTTGAAGAAGATGAAGCTGTGACACAGGACAGTGTTCAGGATGAGGAAGAGGTTCCCTGCCCCACTGTGTTTGTGAACACACGTCGGGGCAAAGGGAACGGTACCAAGAGAAAACTCTCTGATACTGCGACCGTGTGTGAGGACAAGTCACCTCCAAGTGACGCCCAGGTATTTCACACCATTACCTACTCAATGCACACATTGTATAGATATCATTGTTGGGCAGATTTGTTGAATAGAATAAGAAATGGTAAATGCTCTGCTCTTATATTATATAGTGCTCTATCAGGTATTTTCGACCCCTCAAAGCGCTTTACATACTCTGAATCATCCCCCCATTCACACCTCATTATGCAGAGCAGTACCACTTGCTCTACTTTGCCTCAGTGCCACACAGTGTCCGCGGGGTCTTAAAAAGTATTAAAAGTTGATAAATCAATTTAGCGAAAATGAAGGCTATTAAAAAGTATTAAACGGCATTTTCCAAGGTATTAAATGTTGTAGCTTGTTTTCAATAAGTATATAAATTGTCCAAAGAGGTTGTATTCTACAGTGTGCCTGAATGTAATCATTGCGTAGGTGTGTAGTGTGATTCTGTGTAGTTTATTTATGGCATCCCGTTGGATTTGACGTCACCTGAACAGGACATCGCACGCTCACTGCTTGATAGCGCGCGAAGGTCCGTTTACGCCGGTTGTTAAACAACATCGTTATGGGGAAATGCAAGTCTGCGTCCAAATGGTTGGAAGATAAGGAGGAAGGACAATCAATACTGTATATAGTCAATGTGAGGTAAAGTGTGTCACCAATGTAACCGGTTAAAACTCCAAGTGGCGATGAATTCTTAAAATGTATGGAAAGGGTCTTAAAAAGGTCTTAAAATGTCTTACATTTGACTTCAGGATTCCTGCATATACCCTGTGCCTGTACTTTTTGCATTCGGGAGAATTAAAAATTGTTGTTGTTCCTTTCAAAGGTTGACACTGTAGTGGCTTCATCTGCTGCACCCTGTGGGGCTTGGGGGGCTAAGAAGAGGAAAGTGTCCTCTGCCAAGGACTCTGAACAAAGTGAGACCGCGCCTCTTCAGGAGCCCCAGACCTCTGAGGTTAAAGATGAAGCCGCTGTGCATGATAACACGGGTCAGTAGTTACATATTTTTACTGTTAAATTATGTTTGCATTGAATAGCATGTTCCCTCTGACAGACAGAAGCAACATGTCCGTTTGTCTTCAGAGATTCTTGACTCCAAATCCGGTTGTGAACACATACTAATCCTTTATTTGACTTACTTAATATCTGTACAGAAAAAGCTCAGAAGGTGGCCAAAGCCGGTAAAATCCCTCGACTGCAGGCTAAGAAAAAGCTGATGTTGAACCCTGTCACTCCTAGTAAGTACTTTTTTCCTCCTCACATAACAGAAAGACAGTGATGTCCCCCCCCCCCCCCAAACCCTCCAGTTAACTTTTGTAAATGTCTCTTCTTTTTTTTTTTAGACTTCAAGAAACTCCACGAGGCAAATTTCAGCAAGATGGAGTCCATTGACTCTTATGTCCAGAGAAAAAACAAACAGATGGAGTCTCTAAGGAGCTCAGGCAAGGAACTGAAGGTACCTTCAAAATCAGACTTTGTTAATCATCCAGATCAACTTAAAGGTCCCATGTCATGGCCATTTCTACTGATCATAATTCCATTGTTGAGGTCTACTAGAATAGATTTACATTTGTTCAATGTTTCAAAATCACATTGGTTTCTCATACAGCATCTCTGTATAGTATGTGTATTCACTCTCTGTCCTACACGCCTTGTTGGAGCTCCTGCCCCCCCCTCCCTATGAGCCTACTGTGCTCTGATTGGTCAACCACCGTTACAGCGGAACATCAGTGATTATGTGTTACAATGGCGTTTGTTAGCAACCAGAAAATGACACCAGTAATGACAAACAGATGAGAATGCTGCGTGGGGTCTGGGTGCGGGGATCGCTGCTCCGCCCTGTGGAGCTCGAGGAGCGGACAGTGTGAGCTGGGTTACTAGTGTCATTTCCTGGTTGCTGCGTGGGGTCTGCGAGACAGCGAGACACCGCGGATCTAAGCCTGAGCACAGCCAGGCTGTGAGTTTGTGTGTGTGTGTGTGTGCAGAGCTCCGCAGATTGGTCCATTTGGTCGGCGTTACGTCACTATGACCCGGAAGAAAAAAATGGAAAAAGAAAAATGTCCAACGAGGCATTCTGGGGCAGCATAGACAGGTCTTTTCTGTGTTAGAGTTTTACTCGCTACAGGGTAGGGATCGACCGATATGGCTTTTTCAAGGCCGATACCGATTATTAGTAATCAAGGAGACCGATAACCGATATTTGGAACCGATATACATTTGCAGTAAAATCTGAAAATCTTGGTGTCAAAATGTAGAATAACACAAACTCCAACACAACTTCTTTGAAATGCATTTAAGCATATATTATGTTTAATGGACTTTTAAAAATCTTACAACTGGTTTCCTCTCTGCCCTTTTCTTTAGTGCAGCCATCTGCAATGAGTTGGAGAGAGACAGAGAGTTCAAAGTGGGGCTGCAGGCTGACATGCTTAACTAACAATAATGCTTAATTTATTATATCAAAACAATGCCTGTCTATCTAGCATAAAATCCCAATAAGCTGCTAGCAACTGCAAAACACTAGTGCTAGCTAATGTTTTGCAAAATATTAAAAGTGAGGCTATTACAGTAGACCTAACGTTAGTCTAGTAGCCTCACTTCTAATATTTTGCTAAACATTTGCTAGATACATGTTGGCTAGCTAATGAGCTTCACATATCAACCTGAAAAACTGCGAGGCTCCACTCGCAGCCCCCCTCCGCACCACAGTTACTCCGCTGCGAGACGCTGCACGCACCCCCAACTCTGACTGACTGAAACTGATAGAATTGGATCATAAGATCGTGGTGTTTTTGCAACTTCAACAAAGGGGATTGGGATGTTTATTGAACTTCGGCTTTCAACTGACTTACCTTCGAAACACATGTATGGCTCTGCCGCTCAGCGCTGCTGCTTGCCTCAGCCTGTGTCTGCGAAGGTAATCTGAGAAGGTCCCGCCTCTCTGGCTCCCGCCCGGAAAATCTTCAGTGTTGATTGACACTTCAGTAATAGCCTATCAGATAGGGCTGTGGGCGGGACATTGCTCGTGTACAGAGTGGTGACTGCAGCCAGAGAAACGGCCGCATCAGAGCCAAAGTTTTATCGGCAATTTGATTTAAAAAAGGCCGATACCGATAATCGGTGAAATGCGGAATATCGGCCCCGATAATCGGCCAGACCGTTTACATGCAGAAAAAGCTACATAACACACAAGGGGACGGGTAATAACCGGAAAAGCATGACATGGGACCTTTAAATGTTTACCTGATGAGAACCTGCTATGTTGTTAAATGGTTTTGGTTTTGTTTTCAGACTCCGTCAGACAAAACTAAACTGCAGCAAGTTGATGCCAAAACTAAAGTGGTGAGCATGACCTCCAGCTGCCAGTATATTGATCACATCCTGTGCAGTGAAGGTGCTCACCTGGGTGTGTTTATTCAACAGAAGGTGAGCGAGACTCGTGCCTCCATGTTCAGCCCCATCCTGCCGAATAAAAAACCAGCAAAGGACAAACGCAGGAACACTGTGCTCTCTGCCAGTAAAGCTAAACCTGCAGGGAAGGAAGCGGCTCTGTTCAGACCGTCTGTCCTCTCCACGCGCAGGATCAACGTTCGGTGAGGAGCTTTCTTTGGACTTTGGGACAGAAATGATTGCAAAAGCCAAAAACAGTTCATAATTTCAGGAACTTAAGCAAGTAGCTAGCTGTGTCTGGGGATGTTTTAGACCTCTCAGCCTCTCTTGTATGAATAAATGGTTTCCTCTCTTGGCCCTCTCTTTGCAATAACAGGCTTGCAAGAAGTTTGTGTTTGTAGTGTTTAATGTTATGGCCTCGCTTTGAAACCATAACAAACGCAAGGGATAGAGAGGTTAAGTCCCGCCCATCTACTTCCGACCCATGGGACCTTATTTCAGAAAAATTATGCATTGAAGTCAATGGGGAGAGAAAGATTATCTCTCGATGCCGTTTGAATTGTGCCACGAATTACACATATGATGTTTGTCAATCTTAAAAAATCATTTCCATGTCAAAAAAGTCACAGTTTGTCGTAAAACTGTTGAAATATAAGACTATGAAAAATGCGCAACTAGAAAGACTACAAATCCCAGAATCCCGGTCCCGCATGCTGGCTCTTAGGAACCGACTAACTCCCCTTGTGTGTATGTACAGCTCTCAACATGCCCAGACTTGGAGTGATTTTCACCTCTTTTAATACTTTTCGCCTCATTCTGAAAGAAAGAAGTTAAATGTGCCAACGTGACGGCCGTCTTGGTGTGTGGTGCGAGACGGGAGATGTAGTTCATTGAGCGGTTTCACACAAAAACGTGTTTTACGACACATTTTTTTTTTTTTGACTTGCAAAATTATCTTTTAAATTGACAAACATCATATGTGTAATTCGTGGCACATTCAAACAGGATCGAAAGATAACCTTTCTCTCCCCATTGACTTCAATATGTGGGGGAAACTTCTGTGTAGCAATGCATTGGGAGTCACCGACTCAGGAAGGAGACACGGTGAGAGTTGGAGCTTTGATGTCAAACACTGATGGGTTTATTCAGAGTATTCGGCCGGAGGATTCACATCACAAGTCAAAGAGTCAGAGGTTCTGACTTCACGGTAGAGTTGCCACGTCAATCCTGAAGAGCCTCTCTCTATGCTAGACCTTTTAACTGGTTCACAGAGAGAAATCAACATCTCTGAAGGAGTAGACTAAACAGCTGGGAACACTGAACCACCTGCGTCCGACACTCATGGCCTCAAAGATTTCACATCTTAGAGTCCACAAACACCGATAAAGAAGTGCCTCAGCGTTCTCACAACAAGTACCATTCGTGCCAGACAAGTTGACCGGTCACAAACTGGTGACAACACATATGGCACCAATGCCTTTCCTTAAAGGAGATAACAGACGTCAGAGTAGATCATAAAACGTCACAGAGCAAAAGGTTAGATATCTAGAAGAATTATTCCTTAACACAATACATAATTTTTCCGAAATAAGGTCCCATGGAGGTCCCCCGGAAAGGGAGGGACTTCGCCTCTCTATTGACAACAAGAAATACTTTTACATGTGACACGTGTGTTTGCAGGTTCTCAGAAGCCACTCATGACAATGGGAATAAGAAATCTCTGGTGAAGACGCCGGCGCGCATGACTCTTTGCGTGACCTCGAGCACGCCTAAAAAACCCACCACTGCTGAGGGAGAGAAGCCCAAAGCCGTCAAGACTTTCTCTGCCACAAACACTTCAGGTAACTTTGCCTTTTAAATCCTAAACATTACATCTACATATAGTAATGTATAGAGTGATTGCTTTAACTTTTTCCTACTTGAATCCAAAGGAGCGTTTGTTTTCACGGGCAACACGAGTGCTTTGATTACCCCCGGGAACCAGAAGAAGCCGACCTTTGACCTGAAGGCCAGTCTGTCTCGTGCCCTCTCTTACAAGCCCCACTCAGGTACAAAACCACGTCTAATTTCTTTCCTGTTTCCCTGAAAATATACTATTGCTACTAGACGAACAAACCCCCCATGTTTTCTGTCACAGAGCTTTGAAATAGCTTTTTAAAACACGTTTTTTTTTTTTTTAAGGTAAACTGAAGCCGCTCGGAGACGCCAATGAAAACCCGGCAGCAAACAAGTCGCTGATCTCAAACTCTCATCAGAAAAACTACAAACAGCACCAGGTCCAGACACGGTATGTTCAACATTAAAGCACACACTTATATCAACACGTATGTCTTACAGCGTCAGTCTCTTACGGATGTTTGTGTTTTCCATATTCCAGGGGGGACAGGAGAGGGAAGCACGAGGAAGGCAGGAAGCAGAAGAAAGAGAATCTGCTCGGGGCCAGAAGAGGCCTCGTCATGATGTGAAAAAAATATCCCGCTTGTTTCTATACGTTTTGTACAGCTTGTTTTCCATTGTAAATATTTTGTTTTCTGCAGCTCACGCTTCTTTTAGCCCGCTGTTAGGAAGCTCTAATCCTCTGCTTCTATCTTACCTAATGTGTTTTTAGATCTGATGCCGTAGTTTACAGCTCTTAATGATGCTTTTATGTATTTTGACACCATTGTACTGGTACTTTTGTTATTAAAAATTTGATTTGCCGACTAATAAAAAGACATTGATACTAATTATTCCCTTGTTTGCTTTGTTTTTTTCACAGAACACATGTTTTTTTTTAGCTTTGCAGAACATTAATATGCACAAAAACCTCTAGAACACCCCAAAAAGCAGAATAGGCCTTCTTTATAACAAGATAAACAACTTGATTTTTACTTTTAATTAACAACAAGATGGTGTCCTGTAATTGAAACGTCCTAAATGTGTGTTTGATCTCTGTTATGACCTGGCTCAAAAGGCCACAACAAAGAGGAGACACACCATGGTCCTTTCTCATTCCCCTCCTCGACTCCTATCCTCGAGACTTAGTCCCGCCCACAGGAGATGCGAGCGGAGGAACCCCCCCCTCTGGTCGCTAGAATGAGGAAAATAAATTACGTGTCAAAAATGTTATCTACAAGTATTAAAAGTAAGCAGACGACACCAAACCAACTGAGCCCTGTCTGTCCACCGCATCTACGCACACACTGTACCACACACACCTACACCACACACACGCACCTACAGCTCCTAAAGCATATAATCAGGCTACAGCTGTTGTGTATTTTATTATGTGAAGCACTAAATGGTTTTAGAAAAATATCGACTTTGTTTGTAGATATCTACTAAACTAAAGCAAATAAAGAGAGTAGGCCTGTTATACTGAGTGATATGATATATATTATACACACTGCTCTGCTTTCTGCACGGACCTCACAGCTGTTCTCACTGTAAACATCGCGTCGCGATGAAAGCAGTTAATAAAATAATATCCAGGGGATGCATGCAGAGCTGTCATTGGCTGAGATCAGTCCGGCCGTGCGTCACGACTCTTTGAAACATCTCTGTTCCCGGAAATGCATCCACGAAGGAGCCGTGGAGGACCGTGGAGGACCCATCAGTGTATCCTCGGTTATAGCTCCTCCAGAGAGCCTCCTCGACGCTCGATCCTCGGTCCTCGAAGTGCATTTAGAGAAATGAGATGTCCTTCAACATGGCGCGCTAAAATTCATTTCCGGGTCACTCCCGGAGGACCGAGGAGTCGAGGAGTCGAGGAGGGGGAATTGATGAAATGAGAAAGGGCCTGTATCAACGATTTAACAAAATATGTTTATTAAAGCAAGTGGTTCAAATTAGCCAAATTAATCAAGTGCAACACAAGTAAAGCATGAGGTGTGAACGTCAGTGGTATCAGTAATGTAACTGCAGGGTGAGGATTGCATGAACATGTATGTGTGAGGGTGTTGAGGTGCACAAAGTAAAACAACTGAAATATATTTTAAAATGTGCTTTATAAATAAAACCTGATTTGATTTGAATGTGATTGGTTGTTGGTCAAGTTTCAGACACGCCCGCCGGCAAGCTTCAACGCACGCTGCCGTGTGCACGCTGCCGTGTGCACGCTGCGCAACAGTTAATGTGCTAGAATACAAATATAACGAGCACAAGAAATAAGTTTCTCCCGTAAGATGAATGAGTGTGTTGTTGACTGCATTTCTTTATTGGTAGTCGTAGTTTAAAGCGACCATTATTCAACGAAAGTTCATCTGCAGTATCATCACGGTCGCTCTCAGTTTTTTGGATTCCTCTCGTACATCTCATAGGCAAACTCCTCAGTGTGAGCATAATCTTTACAGACAGCAACAAAGTCAACCTCCAGCTGAAAGTGTCCCTCTGCTTTATCTCCCAACGTAAATCCAATGGTGTTCACCTGTCAATACAGATTAAGTATACAGGTCAGCAGTTTCTCAACAGTGTAACTGTCGTAGCTTCATTTATTTAATATTTTATGTTTGCGATTTTCTTCTGCTTTACCTTATCCAGCCAGATAGGATGCTGGTTGTCTTGTATTCTCCCGCGGTGTGATAGGAAGAACTTGGAGAAAGGAATCTGAAATGGATCAGATGAAAGTGTTAGAATAACTGCTCACATTTCATATAAAACAAACAAAAAAGCTGAAATCCCTGTGGGCTCTGGTTTCAGACAGAGGGTGAAAAGATGAGAAGGCAGTATGAGAAAAATAAAGAGCTTTTTGAACATTAGAGCATGGAGACATGTCCCAGTAGAGACACTACATACTGATATACACCTGAACATCACCAGGAGAGGACTCTTTAAAGTAGAGACACTACATACTGATATACACCTGAACATCAGCAGGAGAGGACTCTTTAAAGTAGAGACACTACATACTGATATACACCTGAACATCAGCAGGAGAGGACTCTTTAAAGTAGAGACACTACATACTGATATACACCTGAACATCACCAGGAGAGGACTCTTTAAAGTAGAGACACTACATACTGATATACACCTGAACATCAGCAGGAGAGGACTCTTTAAAGTAGAGACACTACATACTGATATACACCTGAACATCAGCAGGAGAGGACTCTTTAAAGTAGAGACACTACATACTGATATACACCTGAACATCACCAGGAGAGGACTCTTTAAAGTAGAGATACTACATACTGATATACACCTGAACATCAGCAGGAGAGGACTCTTTAAAGTAGAGACACTACATACTGATATACACCTGAACATCAGCAGGAGAGGACTCTTTAAAGTAGAGACACTACATACTGATATACACCTGAACATCAGCAGGAGAGGACTCTTTAAAGTAGAGACACTACATACTGATATACACCTTAACATCAGCAGGAGAGGACTCTTTAAAGTAGAGACACTACATACTGATATACACCTGAACATCAGCAGGAGAGGACTCTTTAAAGTAGAGACACTACATACTGATATACACCTGAACATCAGCAGGAGAGGACTCTTTAAAGTAGAGACACTACATACTGATATACACCTGGACATCAGCAGGAGAGGACTCTTTAAAGTAGAGACACTACATACTGATATACACCTGAACATCAGCAGGAGAGGACTCTTTAAAGTAGAGACACTACATACTGATATACACTTGAACATCAGCAGGAGAGGACTCTTTAAAGTAGAGACACTACATACTGATATACACTTGAACATCAGCAGGAGAGAACTCTTTAAGCAGCATTTCCTAAAAGTAAAAATAATTAAATAATATCCCAATTTGGAATCAATAAAGCACATTTAACCGTCTTTCTAAAAAAAAAAATGTGTGGCATCACCTTGACTTCCTGCCAGTAGGGCCCCCCCCTGGTGTACAGGAAGTAGTTGTAGATGTCGTCTTTCTGGTGAGAGAAGTACGTCTCCGTGGCGATGTTGATCATCCACGGCCGGCCGTCTCCCCTCACTCGGAGATGCAGGGTGTTGAAGCTGGACCAGTCATAGTGCTTCTTCCTGTCAAATGAAGCCTAAAGAGACGGAAAGGGAAGCTGTATTAAGAGCTGACACCAATATTCATTTAGGAAAAGTGGAGAATGTACAGGACTTAAGTGTGGGCCGTTTTTCGGTCAAATACAAATGTATGATAAACCAGAGAGTAGGGACAAGTCTGTGTTGGAAATAAATAATAATGAAATTAGCAGCTTGTATTTATTTGTACAATTATCTGTTAACATGGCAAAGAAATGAAATATAGATAAATTGTTGAAGGTGTTTCAGGAGTTGTTGTAGAGTTTAATTTTGTAACTGCTTTGTATGTTTAAAACAATTAAATACCTCTCTTTGTAAGACAGTAAAAAGAGTGTAAGGTCAAAACAGAGAGGAAGACCCCCCAAATAATTAAAATAAAAACATGTACATTTTTCTTAATTTAAATCTATAAAGTCACGCTGAAATATTTCCAGGAAAGAAATTCCAGATAAAAATCCATCTTCATATGAAAAAAAAACAACTAGCAAAAATAGATAAATAAAAGTAGTTAATTTAACTTTAATAACATGTTCAACAAATGTTATTTCCAAAGACGCCTCCTCCATAGCCAAGAATACAATTCTGTTGGGGAAATACCGAAACCTTCTTCAAGTATTCTAAATAAAAAAAATATTGAGTTCACGTTCGGTACATATATATTTTTTTAGGTACAAGTGAAAAATTCAAGCATTTTGAAGGTACTTTATTCAGTTGTTTCCAGACTTTAAAGGTAGGGTAGGTCATTTTGGAGAAACCAGCTCGAGTGCGCTAGAATTTGAAAATACACAGCCGGAAAAAATCTGCCACTTCCTTACAGAGCCCCTCCTCCAACACACACGAACGCGCACATGACCAATGAGGGCACGAGATAAGTATGTGCACAGATGGAAGGCTGACAGGCAGGTAGGCCATCCAGTTATTTTAGCCGGGCCGGTCGTGCTTTTTGGTCATGCTTTTTACAGTACTACGGCTTCCACAGATGACATTTTTTTATGGATTTTTTGTCAAAGCACTTAAGATATTCATTGCTATCGGGATGTTAAGAGCATTCCATGGAATATAACAAAAAGTGTATCTCAAGCCGGTTTCTCAACCTTACCTACCCCACCTTTAAAGGTCCCATGTCATGCTTTTCTGGTTATTACCCGTCCCCTTGTGTGTTATGTAGCTTTTTATGCATGTAAACGGTCTGCAGAGTCAAAAACCCTCAAAGTACACCCTGTAGGGAGTAAAACTCTAACACAGAAAATACCTGTCTATGCTGCCCCAGAACGCCTCGTTGGAGATCTCTCATTTTCAACTAACAGGGAGTCCCATTGACTTGCATAGAGCTCCCTGCTTGGTAATAGACGAGTTGGGATCGCGGAGAAATGCTCTCCGCAGACTCATTCTCACAGCGTTATAAACCTTTTTCTTACTCAATATCAAGCCACACTTATTGTTTTTACTTCGGCTGTGAGTGATTGTGTGTGCTCAGGATGAGTTTTGCGCTGTCTCGCCGACCCGGAAACCACACCAGTAAGCCAGCTCACTGAGCAACGAGCCTCGCAACGTCCCGACCAATTAGAGCACACTGGGCTCACAGGGAGGGGGGGCAGGAGCTCCAACAAGCCGTTTAGGACAGAGAGTGAATACACATACTATACAGAGATGCTGTATGAGAAACCAATGTGAGTTTGGAACATTGCACAATATAAATCTATTTTAGTAGACCTTAACAATGGAATTATGATCAGTAGAAATGGCCATGACATGGGACCTTTAAGCCTCTATAATTGCATCTAAAATGTTGCTAGAAATGAAGTTGCAAGTTTACAGAATTCCTTTATAGAAAATGTGATGACAGTATTGTTTAATTTCAACTGTCAGGATTTTGTATGAACCCTGTGAGTTGTAAAATTTAAAATCCAGAGAAAATAGTGGCAGTAATTATTAATTAATTAATGCTGTTACAGTAATTTATTAAAAGTTATACATGATGCATACACGTTTGGAGGGTAAGTCTTTAGGGCTCTAACCTTGGGTATCTTTGAGCGCATGTTGCAGTATCCGCTGTACCGCGTCACTCCGTCCCTCGGGATGGTGGTGCACAGCTTACCGTGCAAGAAGCAGGTGTTAACGTTCCTGCCCATCTTCAGGTGAACTTCACTCCGACCTCCTATCTCCTGATCCGAGGAAACCGTCCACTGCTTAAGGCTCTCTGGACCCCTGAACTCCCAGATCACCAGGTTCTGCTCCAGGATGTGTTCGATGAGCGGTTTCCCCTGCGGACCCACAAAGCGCTCGAAGAACTCGTCTTTCATCAGCATGAAATGCTTCTTGATGCTCTTGATTCCCTTGGAGAAGTTGAAGTTGAGGGGGGATTCCTTTTGTATGGGCTGGCCGGGGCGTCTGTAGTCCTGCTGGATCTTAGTCCTGCAGGGGATGGTGAGAGGGGAGAGAGGGGGGAGCAGCAGCTGATGATGGGGGAGGACGGACGTCAGCAGCCTCGCTGAGGGGAGGCGGGCCAGCTTAGGAAGAGACATTTCAGTCGGGACGATTCACAGCTGGGATACAGAGCAGAATGAGGGCGTTATTACACATTACAGGGTAAGGATCAAGTCAAAGTCAACTTTATTGTCAATCGTTCAGTTTGTGTGCACAGACAGAGAGATTGAAATACCGTTTCCCACAATCCCGAATATAAAAATACAAATATGTATGATGGATATTTACACAGAAAAAACTCAATTCAAGCTGCAACGATTAATTGATAAACAGTAGACAAAAAATAACCGGCAACTATTTTGATACTCAATTAATTGTAACAGTATTTTTTCAAGCAGAAATGCTGTTTTCAATCTCTCCAATATGTGGATTTCCTGCTTTTCTGTTTTATATAATTTTATATTAATTTTAGGGGGTTTTTGACTGACAAAGCAAGACATTTAAAGACATCCTCTTGGTCTAGAATGTATATTTGTTACACCATTACTTTGATTAGAGAAAATAAATTCCGACTAGTGCTGAAACATTTTGCTTTTCTACGTTATGTTGTTTTGTATTAAGCAGGTAAATCACCAATTACGATTGTGGTATAATATATTATAGTATATTACGTATAGTATAGTAAAGTCTAGTATAGTATAGTATAGTATATTATAGTATATTATAGTCTAGTATATTATAGTATATTATAGTATAGTATAATATAGTATAGTATAGTATATTATAGTATAGTATAATATAGTATATTATAGTATATTATAGTATAGTATATTATAGTATATTATAGTCAAGTCTAGTCTAGAATAGTATAATATATTATAGTATAGTATATTATAGTATAGTATAGTATATTATAGTATAGTATATTATAGTATAATATAGTATAGTATATTATACTATAATATAGTATAGTATATTATAGTATAGTATATTATAGTATAGTATATTATAGTATAGTATAGTATATTATAGTATATTATAGTAATACTTTTCAACGATTTCTAAATTATACCAAAGGATTACGTTACACTTATTATTGTCATTTTGCGATTTGTATTCACTTATTTACATTCAAAGTATTCTGACCAATTCAATGACATTGTTAACGTCACAATGCATGGCCTTTAGCATCTGATTAACATTACTGTAAATAATAATACTGTAAAAACATGTAAACCATAATCTGTCTCTACTCACTGTGATCACGTTGAACCAAACGCTGACGGCTGGATATTCCACAAAATACGGTTTTTCATTCAGTGATCTTCTTTAAATCATTGTTATGGATTTAAATCATGTATATTATTGTCTTTTACTTTAAGAAATGTAGCTTCATTAAAGGTTGAGTTAGCATGGACCTTGAATGTAGCTGTTGTGCACCAGTGATTTCCGTCCGGACTGACGCACTCACTGTGATAACAGATAGTTCCGCTATCAGCTAACTTTCACTATCCTCGCATTTGGGCAGAGTATCTTTTATTTATTTACACACTCTTAATAAAGTATAATTATAAAAAGCATTACAATGAATTTTATGTCACTCACAAAAATATATATAAATAAAACCAAGGCTAATAATAAGCTATCTTTGGCTCTTTACTTGCTGTAACAGGGGACATTTATAAAATGCATATTATATAAGTGATTATTTATTCAATAACATATGAACATCATATATATTTATATAAAACAATTCACATCAGTGGTGGACATATAAAGTAAAAAAAATAAAAAGATAAAATAAACTGATTTTGATTAACTATGGTACCAATATGACCGCGCCTGCGCAGTGCTGTCTTTGTGTAGCTGACTGCAGTTAGCATTTAGACGACACAGAGGTAGCTAGCAGGTTAGCTTCTCTCATCATGGTGAATGTAAAGAAGCGGAAAGGTCGGGTCGTGATTGACTCTGACTCTGAAGACAGTGCTAGCGACGATAACTTAGATCAGGTAGGTCCGCTGTTTTTATCATATTGTACCAACGGCTCGCTAATTTAGTTGTCAGCAGTTTGAAGCTAACAGATGCTAACGGGTGCTAACTGAGGTTTGCCTCGCTTATACAAGCAGAGAGTGGGCCTGTTATTACTACAACTATCGCTTCTTTCCTCAGTAAACAACGCCATTTCAGAAACATAAATACATATATTTCCCCCAAGTGTTTCTGTAAGGTCTTCAACTCAGAGGAAAAGTGTGGGGTTGTATTGTACGAAAGCAGCGTCTTAGCATGTAGGCTAAGTGATGCTAACGTTAAGGTTACATTCCGAGAGATGCACTTAACAAGAGCTATTATGTGGTGTTTTGACACAAACATGCCGCACCGTGGGCTTTATACTTAACACTTTTACTAAGCTTCTTTTCCTACTGGGTGATTTGATTGTTAGCCCTCAGACTGAAGGAGTCAGAGACATGTTTTCACCAGAGACTGTATACATGTTTTCACACACGAGCTGTAGTGGAGTCGCTCTTGAATTAGCTAGGAGAACCTTATCTGCTCATGACGTCATAGGCAGAGCTGAAGGTCTATTTCTGTGTTGTTGTCAAACAAGCTCTGCAGAGTAGCATGTCAGTGTGTGCAGCTGTACAGGAGTACTGCCTTCAGTAATCTGCATAATAAACCCGCCATGAACACCACTACAGCTGATGCTCACAGACAGCACAGATACAGCTTGATTAAAACAGATGACTAGAATAGTGGAGGGAAGTTCAGTAAACCTTGTTTCCTTGGTTGACATTAAGAGTTATATGTATGTTTGTGTATAAAGGTAGTTCAGTGCATTACAGTTGTGTTTTGAGATCCCTTGATGAAGACAGTGTCATGCAGATCTGCAGGTTAGATCAGCATATTTAACTTCTGCAGAATTTGAATGTATATTTATTAATTTATCATATTATGCAGCCCTAGTACAATACCAAATAGTTGATGCACAACAACAGTAGTTAAACAGTAGAGACCTTCATTCAGTACATTTAAACACTAAGGCTGCCAATTTGTTTGTATTTTATTTCACAGGGACAAAGCAATTTAACAATTCAGAGCAACAGAACTGATATGCACAGAGAGTTTATAGTTATAGCTTATTTAGTGGGCTTTTACATGTATAGTTAAAATGCACAAGTTGAAATGACTTATATATAGTTGATTTTGGTTAGTGTTCTTCATTTTTGTTTTGAATCATCTTGTTGAAGACAGCGTTATGCAGATCTGCAGGTCAGATCATCAGTGTTGCATACATTGAGCTTTTATGGCTGAATTTGAATTGATTCATATCTCATGTGTGCAGCCCCAGTTCAGATAGTTGATGCACAGAGATGAACAGAAAAGTTGAGAGTTCAGTACATTTAACTACTGAAGCTGCACATTTGGTGTTTTATTTCACAGAGACAAAAGCAATTAAATATAGTTTAAATCCAGAGCATCGAAACTGATGAGCTGCACACCGTGTTTATAGTTATCATCTTCAACTCTTGTCCCTAATGGGCTTTTACATGTATAGTTAAAATGCCTATTGAGGTCAAATAGTGCGATAAATGCAAAAGAGCTGGTCAATATGGATAGAAAACCAAATATCACAAATTCACAATACTTATAAACAAATACTTTGTTAGCAATATTGTAGGTACAAAGGTACTGCTCTCACAAAAAGGTTTATATAGTGAGATCTTTGAAAACGAATCATCAGTTGGTTATTCATAGCACATGACATTGAATTGTGACTTTATGTACTGTATATACAAAATTACACTTGCACAGATGCAAGGTGCTAGACAAGCTTCACAATCCTTGAAACCTGCTTGATTCTGTCTTTGAAAAAGGTGCAGCAACCTGTTTTATTAATCATATGTTGGTTAACACGGGGTCAATGGTTCAATGAAACGAGAGAACAACTTAGCAGTAAAACACACCAGTCATATTAAGATAAGATGGGACGACGTAAATAAATATATTTCACTATATGAAGAGAAGATTTGTGTGTTTATGTGAGTATAACATAAAGGGGAAAGTCTAAACCCAAGACAGATATGCAGATCAAATGTTTGTAGTATTTCATAAGTTGTTTCTCCTAGTATTGATTCAGATTCTTGCCCATACAAAGTACTTATCTGTTAAAAGTAATCGCTTTTTCCCAGATTAAAATGTTGCAATCATTAATCTTCAGTTGTCATTATTGTATGAGACTTAACGTGAGGCCAGGGATCACTCTGACGTCTCAATGTGACTGATGGCAGAAATACTAAACTCTCAAATGACTCGGGCAGAGAAACTATTTACAGTGATGTGAATTGATCACCTCAGTATTGGTGCCAACAACATGCCGATGCATCCCTAGTATTTTGTTGATTCTTGTACCAATCTTTCTGTCAGAAATGGGTGAAAAATGTCCATCTCTGAGGCTAAAACCCACATGTTATTTTGCATGAAAAATAACGTAAACCTTAACAAAATATTCAACTAATCGTGGCAGCTTTAGATTACACAAATGGATGCTCACTTCTGTCATGAGAATGTGTTGAGAGTTTGACTACTTTGTGGTTTCTTGGCCAATCTGCTGTGTTTGTTTGGGATGTTTGTCCTGCTATATGCATGCCGAAAAGCTGTGCCATTGGGATCTTTGTACACCTGAATTTAAAGAATATTCAAGACAGAAAGCAAGCCGGTCTGCACTTGCCGGAAGCATTTTCACACTTTTTCCACTTTCTGTGTTTATAATTTCACTGGCTGCTCTATCTGAACCACATCTTGGTGTTCTCATTTTCAGGAGCTCTTGTCTTTGGCAAAGAGGAAGAGGGTGGATTCAGGAGATCAGGAGGAGCCGGTGAGCAAACCTGCAGCTTCTTCAGACTCAGAGACATCCGACAGTGATGATGAGGTAAGCGTTTGCTCTAAAGACGTCACTCTTACATTTGCAAAAGGTATCTGAGAACCCAAACTGAATGTTTCCCTCCTCTGTGTAGTGGACTGTGGGTGGCACCAAAGGCAAAAAGAAGGTTAAACCAGGCAAAGGGTCTGAGAAGAAGAATGCTACCAAGAAAAAGGTTCACAAAGCGACGGCGTCCGGCAGCTCGGGTGGAGACAGCTCAGGGGAGAGCTCGGCACCAGAGGAGGGTACGTCTCACTGTGCATGGGAAACACAATGTCTCTGAGCTTCCTTAATATCTGTGTGTAAAACCACAAACGTTGGATATTACAACAGCTGAGGAAGTGTTCAGGTTCACATGACAAACTGACACACACTTAGTAGCATCTTAGATAAAGGACAGAGCAGAGTCGCGAGACATGCTGTGATCTGCAGATTAGAATCATCATCAAGTGGCTGGGATTAGCTGACTCACTCATCCCTTTAATCTGACCTGGCACACACTGTAGCATCTAGTTTGTTGTTGTTGTTATATATAGTGGGTCGACATGGGTATGGACAACCTGGAGAAGTTTATAGGAAAAGTTCGGGAAATCAGTCGCTAAGAATCCGGTACCAAGATGAGTTAAGAAATGCTTTGCAAGAAAAAAAGCTTGCATAAAAGCTATTTTTATTGTTTTCTCTAAATCAAACAAATAACAGTATTTATATTTGTACCATATCATGTTATCAAATCTGTTATTGCCTCCTCAAGATTGTAACCCACAAGTAGGGCTGCAATTTACACTTTTAATCCTTTAAATTGCTCTGTGGATTATTTTCTAGATAATAGTATGGTTTATAAAACGTCACAAAATAGTGAAAAGCCATCACATTTTCTAAAAGTCCATGGTCATGTTAGGCAAAACCATAGACTGTATATATAGGGCAAAACCCAAATATATTTACTTTAAACTGGCATAAAAAAGAAAATTAGCCAATATTTTTATTTAAGAAAACTAAAAACTGCATTTTTTGACATTTGTGGAGGAAATTAAACATTAAAATAGATGGCAATATTTTTGGGCGTTTGACTAATCAATAAGATGAATAATCGATACAGCCTTACTAAAAGGTAGCTGCTAGGATGCCTTCATTTTCCAGTTTAAAGGTCACCTATTATGCAAAATCCACTTGTCCACTTGTCTCTTCTTCATCAACATGTGTCCCCTCTGTGTAAAGAGACTCTGAAAGTTTCAGGAACAAAGATTCTCTCTCTTTTTGTCCTGATCCATTTATATAAAAACCTGTCTGAAAATGAGCTGATCAGATTTTGGCCACTTTATGATGTCATAACGATGTTTTGGCTTGTGTAACCATTAGCCAATCAGCAACCAAGGTACCCCCCCCCCCCCCCCCCCCCCCCCACTTATCACCTGAATCTCCTCCTATACCCCTTTCACACCAACGCAACTCCGGTTCAAGCTCCGTGCTAGAGCTTTTCAGGTTCAGAACCGGTACTTCGGTTTAGCTCCGGCTCTTTTCACACCGCTCAGAGACCGACTGGTGCTGCCGCTGCTGCGTCATGACGTCACAGTTTACGTCGCTGATTTTCTCCCCAACGGAGCTCACCTCACAACAACAACGGGCCGGGGACTGCGTTGCTTTTAATCATACGAAACCAGATTAAATTAAATAACGACTTCTCCAACCTTATACTTTTCTCCAGAGTGCCGTGGTTCATTGTTTATTAATGTGTTTCAGCGGCATTTACCGACCGCTGCAGTGCTGGCTGCTCTTCAACGGGAGTGTTCTCCCGTTAGCTCCGGGTTAGCTCACACGGCTCTAAAGTATTCACTGTCTGACTGTCACACAAGCAGCTGATACATATCCCCAGTTCCCCTTAAGTGAATGTGTGTCAGTCTGAATTGACGCTGTTTGGCATCACAATGCTGTTATGAAAGTTTCTCTGGTATAACATGGGTGATGTTAGCATAGCAACCGAAGCTAAACTGACTACTTGCTAAGCCGTTTTCTACAGGCACATTTTACCGGCGTATTTTTCATTATGATTCTACTTGTGATAGTCGGACATGACAACCTGTGCAGCCCATGTATTGATTCCATCCGATAGCTGCTATAATAACAAACAAAACGTCTGCCTGCTCTCCACAATGATCAATAACAGCGAACGGATGGTCAAAGTAAGGTACAAATAAACAGAATCACACGAAGCCTGGTTAGTGTTGCCTGACTTTATAAAGTGTGTTTTTTTTTAACAAGTGTGTGGTTGCGTTCTAGTCACTTTGCTCAGCGCTACTGCTTGTTACAACTTTTATTTGCCGTACTCGCCTTAACTGTTAGCTCAGGTTAATCTCGCCCCCCTCCGACGTAAGCGTGACGTATGCGGTTCTTGCTTCTAGACGGACAACTTTTTGGTGCTCGAAACGAACCGGATTCCGGAGTTTAGAGGCTGCTCCGCTGCGGTGTGAACAGGAAAACCCGGTGCTTTTCAAGCACCAGCTCCGAACCGGCCCTGAAACACCGTTGGTGTGAATGGGGTACTAGAGCACCATTGTGTTCTTTTTAACCAAATATCTCTGAGGGGCGTGGGGAGGGGCTCCTTATTTTCATCTAAAGTAACAGACAGAGAATCAGCACTTTGGAAACAGGGCTGAAACAGAGGGGATTATGGGATGCTGCAATGATCTGTTTGGTGTTTGGAGACAAACACTTCAGAGACATGCTTTGTATATATCTGAGACCTATAATATATTATTATAAACAGTATAATAGGGAACCTTTTAAAGGCAGTTCGATTTTATTGTTATTGTCATGGAAATTGGTGCAGAATTTGTTCAGGTTTCTGTAGTGTTCTGTCTTTGTCGTGAACTCTGAATCCAGCCGATTGACCCCCGTTTGTGCCGATGCTTCGCTCTCTCACAGGCGAGGTGTCCGACTCTGAGAGCAACAGCTCGTCCTCCAGCTCCGACTCGGACTCCTCTGAGGACGATGTGTTCAGGGACGGCTACGACGACGACCTGATGGGCGACGCTGAGGACCGAGCGAGGCTGGAGCAGATGACGGAGAAGGAGCGAGAGCAGGAGCTGTTCAACAGAATCGAGAAGAGGGAGGTGCTCAAGAGACGGTGAGTGGAGCGGAGTCAAAGTCAACTTAATTGACAATCTTTCAGTTTGTATACCGTTTCCCACAATCCCGAATACAAAAATACAAATATATATATAAAAATACAAAATCAACAGACACATTTATACATATGCACACATTAAGACATAAATAGAAACACAACAATCAATATATACAAAAGAACAGTCACTTCAATATCTTTGAGTATGTACATTAGTGAAAGATTGTCCATAGCAGCGTAAAAAGTGTCAGATAAGGAGAAGAGCAGGAGGAGTCTTTAAAATCATAACAAATTGTGGTAACACTTTATATTAAGGTACATCAATTCACCATCAACTAGTTGTTAATTAACATACATGTCAGCAGTATATTGGCTCTTTATTAGTCAGTATAAAATACTTATTAATGCCTTATTCTACTAGGCCATTAGTGAAGAGTTTTTCCTTAATAACCCCCTAATGAGTGCTTATTGCATTATTATTATTATTGTACGTAATGAAGGTGTTGTACATGAGTGGGTCTTAATATGCTCAATATGCAGTACCACAAGAATAGTAATTCTCCCATAATAACACCTAGCAAATGTGGTCTACTCTTATTTAACAAGTAGGGCTGTCAAGTTAACGCAATTTTTTTTTAACGCCACTAATTATTTTAACGTGCGATTAACGCATGTGTATTTGTCCTCGGCCCGCCCCGTAGTTTCAGAGCCCAAAGGCTTGACGTTGTTGTTGTTGTTGTTAGTTGGATAGTGGGAGATTCTAGCGAGAGATATGGATACAAGAAAAGGTGTTTTAAACAGCAAGCCAAGCACACAGCTGATGCTGACAGCCCCGCTCCTGCCGCTCGCTTGCGGCAGACCACGCTTGAAAGTTTGCCGGGGAGAAGCCTGGACCAGAACAGCGATAGCTAAATGGGTGGCTACAGCTTAACATTGTGGAGGACGAGGGGCTGCGTTAGATAATTCGGATCGCTTCCAACGTGTCGACTGCACATCACAGCGTATTATTTTGACCCACAGTGGGAACGTCTCATGCTTTGACTGTTATGAAGACAGAGGAGCGGCATTTCGCCGACAACTGTAAACAGGCTTGTCTGCTTGAGCAACTGGCTCAGTGCAGAGAAGTACACAGGGTGTGTGAGAGAGAGAGAGAGAGGTTCCAGGTTGTTGTGTTGAGAATATTCAGGAGAATATTTGTGATAATAAACAAACATTTGCATAAAGCATATTTGTCCACTCGTATGTTGATAAGAGTATTAACAACTTGAAAAATATTCCTCTAAGGTACATTTAGAACAGATCAAAAATGTGCGATTAATTTGCGATTAATCGCGATTAAATAAGCCCTAGTAACAAGACATTGTGTCAAAATAACTTAAAATCAGGTCTTTCTAACTCAGAATATGTTCACTAATAAGCTGGTAGTTTGGCTCTAATATGCATGTTAATGAACAACTAGTTGATGGTGAATATGTGTACCTTAATCTAAAGTGTTACCCAAATTGTCATTAAAGTTGGAAAGATGGTGTTGCTTTTTCCTCTACCTTCTTACTTTCTCATACTTACTTTCCCTGGCATTTTAACATCACTGAGTTTGTCTGTTTACTCATTAAAGATTGTGTTTGTTGTGACAGTTTTGAAATCAAAAAGAAGCTGAAGACGGCAAAGAAGAAGGAGAAAGAGGAGAAGAAGACCAGGAAACAGGAGGAAGAGCAGGAGAAGAGGAAGCTATCTCAGGTTCAAGACACACAAGTGGTGAGTTAAAACATTACTAAATGGATATTGTATCACAGATATTTGTTTCACTGTCCTATCTGCTCCAAAAAGTCATACTGAGGATATTAAAGGTCACCTATCATGCTATTTTTAGGCAATCGCATAGGTCTCAGATATATAAAAAACATGTCTGTGAAGTGTTTTGCTCAAAATACCAAACAGATGACCCATTCTAGCCATGCCTCATATCCCTCTGTTTCACTTCCTGTTTCAAAAGTGCTGATTTGGGGAATAAAGCTTTAAAATAATAATAATTTGATAAAAAAAAAAAAGGAGGGGGCTGAGCTCATCTGTCTAAACCAGGGGTGCCCAATACGTCGAAGGTAGTGTGGGTAGATCGCATGGCATTGAAAAAAAAAAGTTAGCTTTATTATGGCATTTGCCACTCGATTGCCGTACAGGTAAGCCAGTCTGAAATCTCATATTTTCGAACACGCAGTTCACCACGTATGCGCGGTCAACCACGCCAGCTGCAAATCACCGGCGAGCTGATTACCTAGTTAGCCTTCCAATTTATACAATTATACTAAAGAAAGGGTATAAGGGGGGGCCTCACCTCCTCATCTGAAGCGCAAATGCGGCACAATAAGTGTTAGCGCGCCACAGTTTCTCCACCGCTTCGAGGTTCCGGTGCTCGCAGTCCACTAGCACCCCCCTTATGTATAAAAGACATCAAAAAGTGCATTTTGCATGATAGGTCCCCTTTTTAAAGTTGCATTTTAAAAACCTGCACAAAAATATGTTAACAGTATTTTAGCGGAAGGTTTCACAATCCATTCTATAGATACTTTTTTGGATTGATTCGGTGGTCTCTAATTGAATCAAAGAGAGGTTTATGAAGTAGCAAGGGTTCTCTTTTTCTTTGTCTCTGATCGTTATTTCCAATCCTCTTTAGGTCATGTCACACAACAAGGAGAGACGAACAAAACGTGACGAAAAACTTGACAAAAAGTCCATGGCCATGGAGGAGCTGAAGGCCGAGCGCGAGAAGAAGAAGAACAGAACAGGTCGGTTGGATTTTTTTTTTAATGATTTGTGACGTTAATGCTCTCAATCGTTTCCTAAATCTGACTTTTATTCGGTTCTGTTGAGCAGCTGAACTGCTGTCCAAACGTCAGCCTCTGAAGACCAGCGAGGTTTACTCCGACGATGAGGAGGAAGAGGAGGAAGACGACGACAAGTCTTCCGTCAAAAGTGATCGCAGTTCCCGTTCGTCGTCCTATGATGAAGACGAGTGAGTGTCACTTTGCTCCTAATGTTGATAACAACACATTTCTCTGGATTATGAGTAACGTAACTTTTGAAAGCACATCCATAACATTCACCTGTTTTCAACTTATATATATCAATATTCCAATGACTTGTATAAAGACTATTCTACACTATTTCTATTATATTCTATTTTATCTGTTTTATTGTGTTGCACTGTTGGAGGAGCCTGTGACCTAAGATTTTCATCGACATATCTACACTGTAGCTATGTACAAAGGACAATAAAAGCCTTGAATCTTGTAAACGAAATCTTGTGCTCTCAGTAGGGATGACACCCCCCCGAAGTCGCAGCCCGTCTCCCTGCCTGACGAGCTGAACCGGGTCCGGCTGTCCCGACACAAACTGGAGCGCTGGTGCCACATGCCCTTCTTCACCAAGACGGTGACCGGCTGCTTCGTGAGGATAGGGATCGGGAACAGCAGCAGCAAACCGGTGTACAGGGTGAGAGACTCCGTTCCATATCAGAGAACAGAGGTGGCAAAAGTACACACTCTCTTTACTTAAAGGTAGGGTAGGTAAGAATGGAGAAACCAGCTTGAGTGCGCTAGAATTTGAAAGTACGCAGCTGAAAAAAATCTGCCCCTTCCGTCAGACTTCCTTACAGAGCCCCTCCTCCAACACACACGAACGCACACATGACCAATGAGGGCACGAGATAAGTTTGTGCACAGATGGAAGGCTGACAGGCAGGTAGGCCATCCAGTTATTTTAGCCGGGCCGGCTCAGATGATTGGTCGTGCTTTTTACAGCGCCACGGCTTCCACAGATGACATTTTTGTATGTATTAATTGTCAAAGCATTTAATGTATTCATTGCTATCGGGATGTTAAGAGCATTCCATGGAATATAACAAAGTGTTTCTGAAGTGAATTACCTACCCCACCTTTAAGTAGAAGTACAGATACTTGTGTAGAAGTACTGATTCAACATTTTACTTAAGTAAAAGTACAGTCTCTGAAATGTACTCACAGTAAAAAGTAACTTTTAAACTGGCTGTTTTTGTTCAAAGCTAACTGAACCGTACATCATATTAATATAATATAATATTAATATGAGTGAAAAGGAGCTTCATTTCAACTTTTATTACTGACATTCTGAATGTATTCAGCGTGAACAGCAAAAACAAAGTACCTGTATTTGCTGTCGCCAACATTGTAGATGGGTTACTTTGCCTTAATATAGGCCTAAACAAATCAAACAAAATGATTATAGTGCATTCACCACGAATCATTTTTTGCACCCACAACTTCAAACAACTTCCTTAACCTGTTAAGCCCGGCAGCCCCCGCCCGTGTTCTTTTTTTCACGAAACTGTGTCTCAGGGCTTCTTAACATTTAAAAACCTATTAATGTGTCATATCCACTTAACGGAAAGAAACTCAGCTAACTGACGATACGAACCATTTTTACCGAAACAAAACACAAGCCTCACAAGAAGCGTCTAAATGAGCCCTGAGCGAAAAAATTCTAACGCACTTAGCACAGAACTCAAAATCAACCGATGGGTTCCAGAGATATGGAAAATGCACCCAAATGACCCCAGAAGTGTTTTTTTTCTTCTAAACCTCTCTAAAAAGGTCAAATGTCACTTTCTTTTGCATCAATCTTGATACAGGGTTCTTATTATATGTTATAGTTTGGATTCCTAAAGCTTTTAGTCTACTATCCCATCATTCAAGGGTGGTTTTCACTATAAGTAATGTTTTCTTTTGGACGGAAACTATAATTTACATTTTTTTACTATGTTCAATCTGAATTTACTTTAAAATATAAAAATTCTATATTGATTCTGACTCTTCTACATCCAACTCACAGATGTAACCTTGGTTTGAGAAAAAAGATTATTAATTTACCCCTTTTAGAAGTGAAGATATGGTTATTTGTTCTGGGAATGTCATTTTCGAGCCTGAGACCTGAAAAATAGGCTCAGGGGTCAAGAGGTTAAGTAAGGTCATGGATGCGGGATGTCTTGCTGGAGGTCTGATGAATCGCCTCCTCGATGTTATCTTCATTTTCAGTCCTGTCGCTGACTGTACTAGCGTTACTCATGGACATTATGCCGTTACACCTTTCTCCCTTAACGTCTCTGCCTAGCTGTTTCCTCATACGTCTTTTACGTTGTTTTCGTCTGTCGTGCATGATCTGCACACCATGGCTCGTCTTCTCTACGTGTTATTGTCACATCCATTTAGTTTTAAATCAGTCTTGATGTCGGGGAAGGCCCGCAATGATGCAAAATATAAATAATTGATCATTCACCCGGGTGTCCGTAGCTAACGATGCTATCTACAGTCTGTAGAACAATGTGCTCTTTGTGATGGTGACAGTGAAGATCTTGGATTTTGAGGTCTTCAATGGCCAATGCGGTTATTTCGGGACCAGGGCTGCTTAATGACATTAATTCATGGCTGCCATCATATCAGATTTTATTTCACGATAACGCTGGCCAAAATAATTGACATCAAACACTGTTGGCGTGATATCTATAGAAATAGAAATAGGAGCACTGAGTTCTTCACATAATATTATCATATGTGTATTTCTTAAATACCGGTATATCGTGACAACCCTAGTGCTGTTACAGGGTGTCCGCGGGGTCTTAAAAAGTATTAAAAGTTGATAAATCAATTTAGCGAAAATGAAGGCTATTAAAAAGTATTAAACGGCATTTTCCAAGGTATTACATTTTGTAGCTTGTTTTCAAAAAGTATATAAATTGTCCAAAGAGGTTGTATTCTACAGTGTGCCTGAATGTAATCATTGGGTAGGTGTGTAGTGTGATTCTGTGTAGTTTATTTATGGCATCCCGTTGGATTTGACGTCATCTGAACAGGACATCGCACGCTCACTGCTTGATAGCGCGCGAAGGTCTGTTTACGCCGGTTGTTAAACAACATCGTTATGGGGAAATGCAAGTCTGCGTCCAAATGGTTGGAAGATAAGGAGGAAGGACAATCAATACTGTATATAGTCCATGTGAGGTAAAGTGTGTCGCCAATGTAACCGGTTAAAACTCCAAGTGGCGATGAGGTCTTAAAATGTATGGAAAGGGTCTTAAAAAAGGTCTTAAAAGGTCTTTCATTTGACTTCAGGATTCCTGCATATACCCTGTGTTATATACAGGGGTGCACATAACTGGTACGCAGGTACGCATGCGCGGCAACAATCTGAAATGCGTACCGTCACTTGTGTCACAAAGCGCATTTGCGTACCGACGTACTTGTGAAGCTTTTCCAGAAGGCGGTTAGATCACCGGTCTCCGTGTGCTGTGCACAGACAGGGCTGCTGTTAACGTCGGTCTGCACAGCAGCCCTGCGCTAAAACAGCTGATCACAACGTTCACACGCTCCGCGGTCACGAAGCTCTGTACTCCACTACCACCCCCCCCCACCCCCCGTTGACAATCGCGAAGCGCTGTACTCCACACTGCCAAACACTGACTCCAGGTACTCATCTGAGTACCTCACTGAGAAAGTTGTGTGCACCCCTGGTTATATAATTATTTTGCATCTGATAAAACACAACAATTTGATATAAAAAAATTCAGACTGACTGACTTTTTCAAATAGCCCTGCAGTTAAAGGTGGGGTAGGTAAGTTTGAGAAACCGGCTCGAGATACACTTTTTGTTATATTCCATGGAATGCTCTTAACATCCCGATAGCAATGAATATTTTAAGTGCTTTGACAAAAAATCCATAAAAAAATGTCATCTGTGGAAGCAGTAGTACTGTAAAAAGCACGAGCAATCATCTGAGCCGGCCCGGCTAAAATAACTGGATGGCCTACCTGCCTGTCAGCCTTCCATCTGTGCACAAACTTATCTCGTGCCCTCATTGGTCATGTGCGCGTTCGTGTGTGTTGGAGGAGGGGCTCTATAAGGAAGTGGCAGATTTTCTCCGGTTGTGTATTTTCAAATTCTAGCGATCTCGAGCCGGTTTCTCAAACTTACCTACCCTACCTTTAAATTATTTTAAATAAAGAAATATTAACTAAATAAATGTCAAGATGGCATTCATTGGCCAACAGATTAATTAGTCTACAACTAATAGGTTTTAAATAAGGTCTGATAATTAAACTTAATTGGATGTTTCCCCCTTTTTTTTTAAAGGTTGCTGAAATTGTGGACGTGGTGGAGACGGCGAAGGTTTACCAACTCGGAACAACGCGAACAAACAAGGGTTTACAGTTAAGGTGTGTAAACAAACAGATAGCTTACAAATTCCAAGTAGTCTGTTGAACAGATGCTCTCTTTAAGTCCCTGCTTTCCACAAATCTGACCCCTTGACTGCACACCTTCTTCAGGCACGGCGGCGACTTGCGGGTCTTCAGGCTCGAGTTCGTATCAAATCAGGAGTTCATGGAGAACGAGTTCATGAAGTGGAAAGAGGCGGTAAGTGTGTTTGAAGCATCTGTAACGTCAGTGTGAGTAGGGACTTTAACCCTTAGATGCACGAGTGACTGGACCCTACACTGTTCCATAAGTGGGTCAAAAAGGACCCGTATTAGAATAATAATGTGTTTTTATCCCATTTTTGTCATTTTGGTTAAGAAAAATCACTTTTATAATATTTAGTATTATATTTTGGTTCACACAAGAAATATTTTATATGAGACCCTCACAGTATTCCAGTCCAAAACTCATCTCTTCTCCTCTTGTCTACTCATAGCCCCCCCCCCCCATCAATCCATGCCGGTTGATCAAGTTTGATAGTCCTATACCCCCCACCCTAACCTTCCCTTATATTGTAAAGCGATGTTGAGTCCTTGAAAAGCCCTATACAAATATAATGTATTATTATGATTATACTGACAGGTATCAGATCTTGCTGTGTAAAATAATCTTCCTGAGAGGTGTCACTTGTGATGTAGTCTGTGTGTCCTACAATGAATGTATTCCTGACAGCAACAGGTGATAAGAATCAAAGGTTCCCATAGGATCCCATAGAAAATGCATGCGGGTCATTTTTGACCCACTTATGGAAGCTTGGGGTAGAAATACAAAAACTACAATTTCTTAAAATTTAAATTAAAAATTTGAATGGCATGATATCCAAAACATGTTTTTTGAGGAATAGCTGGAATATGAAATGATACATCTTTTTAATTACAAAGATAATTCAAGGAAACCACCTCACCGGGTCAAAAAAGACCCACTTATGCATCTAAGGGTTAAGGAACGTCAGATTTTGATGATTGAACTGTTTTCCAGATGGTCGTCGCTGGAATGCAGGTACCAACTCTGGACGAAATCACCAAAAAAGAGCAGTCCATCAAAGAGGCTATGAATCACAAGTTCAACGACAAAGACATCGAGGATGTGAGTCTGCTTCTCTGTTTGTTTACCCGCTTTCTCCCAGCCTCATGCATTAAGCAGCTGTATACAAACATTGAATTTGTGCTCCCTGCAGATCGTTAAAGAGAAGGACAGATTCCGGAAAGCGCCATCGAATTACGCCATGAAGAAAACGCAGTTACTCAAAGATAAGGTAAAGTGTGTGTGTGTGTGTGTGTGTGTGTGTGTGTGTGTGTGTGGGTAAGATTCTGTGTGTGTGTGGGTAAGATTATATGTGTGTGTGGGTAAGATTATATGTGTGTGTGGGTAAGATTATGTGTGTGTGTGGGTAAGATTCTGTGTGTGTGTGTGTGTGTGTGTGTGTGTGGGTAAGATTCTGTGTGTGTGTGTGTGGGTAAGATTCTGTGTGTGTGTGTGGGTAAGATTCTGTGTGTGTGGGTAAGATTCTGTGTGTGTGTGTGTGGGTAAGATTCTGTGTGTGTGTGTGGGTAAGATTCTGTGTGTGTGGGTAAGATTCTGTGTGTGTGTGTGTGGGTAAGATTCTGTGTGTGTGTGTGGGTAAGATTCTGTGTGTGTGTGTGGGTAAGATTCTGTGTGTGTGTGTGGGTAAGATTCTGTGTGTGTGTGTGGGTAAGATTCTGTGTGTGTGTGTGGGTAAGATTCTGTGTGTGTGTGGGTAAGATTCTGTGTGTGTGTGTTTCGGTTAGATCCAGTGTGTGTGTGTTTTTCACAGCTGGATCACGGAGAAAGTGTATTTGTGGAAGTTATAATAACTTGATAATCTTTATTTAAGAAACATTTGTTAAACGCATTTTGGATTACAGACTTCATTTTTGTTAGCGATTCTGACGAAGGCAACCCGGCCTCAGCCTCTCGGCGACAAATGATGGTTCCTGCTGTCGCTGCAAACTTTGTTGCTATCAGACTTTTGCTGACTTTGTTTTCTGTGTTGTGACTGAAGGCCATGGCTGAAGAGGTGGGAGACAACGACAAAGTGAAGTCGATCCAGGACACGCTGAACGAGCTGGAGGAGAGAGCTGAGATGCTCGACAGACAGAGGACCAAGAGCATCTCTGCCATCAGGTACACAAGATACAACATGTTTAAACACACCTGCTGTCACGCTGTTTAAAAAAAGTCTGCTTCAAATACATGGTTGAAAACTAGAGATGCATCGGAAGCAGCTGATGCCATACAATAAGTCTTATCCTTTTAAAAAATTATTATTATTTTATTTTTACGTTTAGATTCACAACACCTTGCAAATTCAAACGATAAAATACTAAGACTTTGAGATAAATTAGGACCGGTTTACGTCATATATGGATAAAATGCACCAAACGTAAGGACCTTTTGTTTTGGAGCTGATTGTGTTTTAATACAGATTTGTTTTTTGTTTTTGTATCGTTCAGCTACATCAATCAGAGGAACAGAAGCTGGAACATCGTTGAATCTGAGAAAGCTCTCGTGGTAAGTGTTCACCCTCTGGTTTCACTGCAGTGGTGTAATCTTTTTTTATCCGTCCGCGAGCTCAACGCCATCTGCGATCGATTAACTACCCCTCCTGTAGCTGTTCGCTCTGATATCGCGTGAAGGGTCTGCTTTATGCACTCCGCAGTAACTCCCCCCCCCCCCCCCAGTTGATGAGCGTGCTCCACTAGCACCCTCCCCCCGTTCTCGGCTACCACCACAAGTATATTTCAGATCTGTGGGAAACACTGTCACTACAATCATAACTGTGGGGGAAACTTCTGTGTAGCAATGCAGTGGGAGTCACCGACTCAGGAAGGAGACACGGTGAGAGTTGGAGCTTTGATGTCAAACACTGATGGGTTTATTCAGAGTATCGGCCGGAGGATTCACATCACAAGTCAAAGAGTCAGAGGTTCTGACTTCACGGTAGAGTTGCCACGTCAATCCTGAAGAGCCTCTCTCTATGCTAGACCTTTTAACTGGTTCACAGAGAGTAATCAACATCTCTGAAGGAGTAGACTAAACAGCTGGGAACACTGAACCACCTGCGTCCGACACTCATGGCCTCAAAGATTTCACATCTTAGAGTCCACAAACACCGATAAAGAAGTGCCTCAGCGTTCTCACAACAAGTACCATTCGTGCCAGACAAGTTGACCGGTCACAAACTGGTAACAACAACACATATGGCACCAATGCCTTTCCTTAAAGGAGATAACAGACGTCAGAGTAGATCATAAAACGTCACAGAGCAAAAGGTTAGATATCTAGAAGAATTATTCCCTAACAATAACCACAATAAATATGTAAAAATGTGCATATTACAATATATATACAGTGGTGTATGAGTCGTTATAAAGATATTATTGCACAAAGTGTACTTTTAATGCAGTCATATTCCTAAGTGATATCTTCTATATTGATGCAGTTAATTCACGCAGAAATACTCACAAATGTACGAGAAAAACTGGAAGAAAAATTCTGGTTTTGATCTTTATCTTAATTAAGCAATCCTACTGATTTTAGCCCAGAATCATCTTTACATTTCATGCATCAGGACTTCGGAAAGAAATATTTCTGGGATATTTCTGGCTTATTATGAGTTCATTATTTTTTTACAGAATGTGGGTCTGTCCTTGTTAAATCACCACCTTAATCTTGGAGGATATTAAAGCATTTTTCTTTTGAATCTACAAATGTTTCCTCCGTTCCCAGGCTCCATATTTCTTTATTTACCTACAAAAGCCCTTATACGGGGTCATAGGTCAAAGCTATCCTCCTGTTGCTACACTAACCCAATGTTCTGTCTCACAGGCTGAAGGACAGTTAGCCAAAACCAACCAGGCGATGGACCCTTTCACACGGAGACAGTGCAAACCCACCATGGTGTCCAATGTAAGTGTTTCATATTTATTGTATGTACAATGAATAACTGTTAAGAAAATATCACTCGTCACCGGCTTGAGCTTCAATCTCAGGACACGTGTATTTCTGATCCTCTCCAGAATGGAAGTAGTCATCACATACAGAGCATCAACTAGTTCCTGAACAGTGTCCTTCACATGCTGATATCCAAGAGAGGGAGTTACACAGTCACAAGATGGAGGAATAGAAAGCAGTATTCAATGTTTACTTCAGATTAGCTCCACGTCAGAAATGATCATGCTTGTCATATGTCTATCTCCATAGAGGCTGAATCATCATGTTAATCACATAGCTATCATATGCCTAAAACAGTCCTGATGCTCTTCTAGGTAATCGTACATCCTGTCATGTTCACAGCTACAGTTGGGATACCTTTGTTATCATGTGTACTCTCATGTTGGAAGAGTATTTTCAGTGTTTTCCCAACACTAACCATTGCTGTATCCTCGTGTGTTAATGTTTTAACGTCCTGCTCCTCTTCACGTCTGTTCAGGCCAGAGACCCTTCAGTCCACGCAGCTATCCTCGCTCACCTGAACCAGAAGTACGGCTCCGGGTCGGCAACAGATCTCCCCGGAGAGGACAATAACAGAATTGTAAGAGGACGAGCGCTAAGAGACATATCTGACGTTTTTAAGAGTTAACTTTGAGGGGATAACTTCTCTCAAAAGTCCAGATTGTTGTCCTGTTCAGCGCCAGAGGTGGGAGAAGTACTCAGATCTTGTACTTGAGTAAAAGTACAAGTACTCGTGTAAGAGTGTAGGAATACTCTGTTACAGTAAAAGTCCTGCATTCAAAATGTTACTCAGGTAAAAGTAGAAAAGTATTATCATCAAAATATAGTTAAAGTACCAAAAGTAAAAAGTAGTCATTGTGCAGATTGGTCCATTTCAGAATAATATATATGATATGTTGTAATACTCAGATCTTGTACTTGAGTAAAAGTAGAAGTACTCAGATCTTGTACTTGAGTAAAAGTAAAAAAGTACTCAGGTCTTGTACTTGAGTAAAAGTACTCATATTGTACTTGAGTAAAAGTAGAAGTACTCAGATCTTGTACTTGAGTAAAAGTAGAAGTACTCAGATCTTGTACTTGAGTAAAAGTAGAAATACTCAGATCTTGTACTTCAGTAAAAGTAAAAAAGTACTCAAGTCTTGTACTTGAGTAAAAGTACTCATATTGTACTTGAGTAAAAGTAGAACTACTCAGATCTTGTACTTGAGTAAAAGTAGAAATACTCAGATCTTGTACTTGAGTAAAAGTAGAAATACTCAGATCTTGTACTTGAGTAAAAGTAGAACTACTCAGATCTTGTACTTGAGTAAAAGTAGAAATACTCAGATCTTGTACTTGAGTAAAAGTAGAACTACTCAGATCTTGTACTTGAGTAAAAGTAGAACTACTCAGATCTTGTAATGGAGTAAAAGTAAAAGTACTCAGGTCTTGTACTTGAGTAAAAGTAGAAGTACCAGAGTGTAGGAATACTCTTACAGTAAAAGTCCTGCATTCAAAATGTTCCTCAAGTAAAAGTAGAAAAGTATTATCATCAAAATATAGTGAAAGTAGCGACAGTAAAAGTAGTCATTGTGCAGATTGGTCCATTTCAGAATAATATATATGATATGTTTTCTAATGATTGATCATGAAAGTGTTCTCAAAGCTGGTAAAGGTGCAGCTAGTTTGAATGACTTTGTATACTGCAGGGTAGCTTGTGAATTTACTCCAGGTGGAACTAAAGTCTGATTTAACACTTGATTATATTTCACATCATTCATCCACATCTGTGAAGTAACTAAAGGGATTACATACATGTAGTGGAGTAAAAGTACACAGTTTACCTCTGAACTGTAGTGGAGGAGAAGTACACAGTGGCATAAAGTGGAAATACTCAAGTAAAGTACAAGTACCTCAAAGAGTAAACGTACTTGGTAACTTCCCACCTCTGTTCAGCGTGAAGCGGATGCTGCATGCTTGTTTCTGATGCTGCAGCTGCAGCTGCAACATATTTTGTTTGCTTTAATGAAGATGAACTCTAAATATTTTGTCTAAATTGTAAAATATAATATGTTTGGAAAGAGTAAGCTGCTATCAAGAGGGTGTGTGGGTAGGGGTGCAACATATTTACCTCACCCTCGTAATTTCTGCTGAAAATGTGAATTTCAAAATCTTAAATATGGGTTCATGGATTTTGAAAATAAAGAATAATAAGTGCAGACTAAATGGATTCTTAAGACATTTGTAGGTCTTTTCCAATTAAGTAGGCATAATATTAATGTCAATATTTGTATATTTTTTGTAAGTAAATGCCTAATTTGTTCTGTCTTTATTGCTTTGTAATAGGCCAACGCGAAAGAAAAAGACAACCTGAAGCTAAACGCCGAGCTCTCAGAGGATTTGTTTAAAGTTCATGATTTTGACGTCAAGATCGACCTACAGGTTCCCAACGCAGGTAAGGTTATTATTTAACAATTGTCTTATTTCTATTTTTCCACTTGTTGTTAAAGGTCCCATGTCATGGCCATTTCTACTGATCACAATTCCATTGTTGAGGTCTACTAGAATAGATTTACATTGTTCAGTGTTCCAAAATCACATTGGTTTCTCATACAGCATCTCTGTATAGTATGTGTATTCACTCTCTGTCCTAAACGGCTTGTTGGAGCTCCTGCCCCCCCCTCCCTATGAGCCCACTGTGCTCTGATTGGTCAGCTCGCCCACTCTGTTCTGATGAGTCCACCACCGTTACAGCGGAACATCAGTGATTATGTGTTTAAATGGCGTTTGTTAGCAACCAGAAAAGGACACCAGTAAGGACAAACAGATGAGAATGGGGTCTGGGTGCCGTGTTGGCGGGACGTTACGAGGCTCGCTGCTGCGAGGAGCGGACAGTGTGAGCTGGCTTACTGGTGTCATTTCCTGGTTGCTGCGTGGGGTTGGCGAGACACAGCGAAACCCAGCCCGAAACCAGCCCGAGCACACACACACCCGCAGCCTGGCTGTGAGTCTGTGGGTGTTTCTCAATGTCGAGTACACTTGCTTGGTAGCACATGTCTGCCGAGCATCTTGCTTCAGAAGCGAGTCAAGAATACTTCCTGCCATTCGGAAAACAAAGAGTGGAACAGGCTAGCAAGTGTGCAGGTGTGCGTCATATGAGAGGCCCCGCCTTACATCTTCCGCCACAGATTTGGGGAAATTGGTCCGTGCGCAAAGCATTGTGGGGATTTTAAGGCCGCGAAGTCTACTCGTGTGCACACTCGATATTTCTCCAAACGGAGTACGCCGGGCTCGGTAGATTTCCAAGTATACTGGAGATTGGAACAGTACTTCGGCGGCACTCGATGACGTAGTATGCTTGAAATAGTGGCTCTGAAGCAGCTTTACTCGCGATTGAGAAACACCCAGTGTGTGCTCACACACAGACTCACAGCCTCGCCGCGTCCCTCCGTCTCAGGCTGAGAAATCCGCGGAGCTGCAGCTGAGAAAAGATTGAGTGTGTGTGCGGACTTAACGTAACGGCTCCGCGGACGTAACGTAAGTTACGGCTCCGCAGATTGGTCCATTTAGACCAATTGGTCCATTGGGTCGTCGTTACGTCACTTGGTTCCCGGAAGAAAAAAATTGAAAAAGAGAAATCTCCACCGAGGCGTTCTGGGGCAGCATAGACAGGTATTTTCTGTGTTAGAGTTTTACTCGCTACAGGGTGTACTTTGAGGGTTTGTGACTCTGCAGACCGTTTACATGCATACAAACCTACATAACACACAAGGGGACGGGTGTGGAGGAAACTTCTGTGTAGTAATGCATGGAGTCACCGACTCAGGAAGGAGACACGGTGAGAGTTGGAGCTTTGATGTCAAACACTGATGGGTTTATTCAGAGTATCGGCTGGAGGATTCACATCACAAGTCAAAGAGTCAGAGGTTCTGACTTCACAGTAGAGTTGCCACGTCAATCCTGAAGAGCCTCTCTCTATGCTAGACCTTTTAACTGGTTCACAAAGAGTAATCAACATCTCTGAAGGAGTAGACTAAACAGCTGGGAACACTGAACCACCTGCGTCCGACACTCATGGCCTCAAAGATTTCACATCTTAGAGTCCACAAACACAGATAAAGAAGTGCCTCAGCGTTCTCACAACAAGTACCATTCGTGCCAGACAAGTTGACCGGTCACAAACTGGTGACAACAACACATATGGCACCAATGCCTTTCCTTAAAGGAGATAACAGACGTCAGAGTAGATCATAAAACGCCACAGAGCAAAAGGTTAGATATCTAGAAGAATTATTCCCTAACAACGGGTAATAACCGGAAGAGCATGACATGGGACCTTTACATTTGTTAGATACTGTACAGATTTTAACAAACTGAATTGTTTTTATTTGAGGGTGTCGATTCATTATGATACAATATTATATTCATTTCTTTTTGACAACAATACTGATATTTGCTGCAATCATTAAGTCTGCTGCTTCTTAAGAAATAAAAACAAATTCATATTAATATACACATTTTAAGTTAAATGTAATTTGATAGCCCAAAATCACAAAAAAAATGTCAAGGCCAGCCTGAGCTACCCTAACAATATTACAAATTGAAGTCTAAATAATATTTCTCTTGTGTTCTTCAGAGGCCAAGTCTCTGTCTGTGAGCTCCAACGCTCTGCCGGTGAAGGACGGCGCCCCCCGCAGGTCATTAAACCTCGAGGACTACAAGAAGAGGAGGGGGCTCATCTGATGTGGGACTACATCTACAGCAAACACACATATGTTCCTGGCTGTGCAGGAGAGAGAGAGAGAGAGAGAGTGTGTGGCTAAGAGAGAGAGAGAGAGAGAGAGAGTGTGTGGCTAAGAGAGAGAGAGAGTGTGTGGCTAAGAGAGAGTGTGTGGCTAAGAGAGAGAGTGTGTGGCTAAGAGAGAGAGTGTGTGGCTAAGAGAGAGAGTGTGTGGCTGAGAGACAGAGTGTGTGGCTGAGAGACAGTGTGTGTGGCTGAGAGAGAGTCTGTGTGGCTGAGAGAGAGTTATTGTGTGGCTGAGAGAGTGTGTGTGTGGCTGAGAGAGAGTTATTGTGTGGCTGAGAGAGTGTGTGTGTGGCTGAGAGAGTGTGTGTGGCTTAGAGAGAGAGTTAATGTGTGGCTGAGAGTGTGTGTGTGGCTGAGAGGGAGAGATATTGTGTGTGTGGCTGAGAGTGTGTGGCTGAGTGTGTGTGTGTGTGGCTGAGTGTGTGTGGCTGAGTGTGTGTGTGTGTGTGTGTGTGTGTGTGTGACCCCAGAGGACATGTATGTGAATGTATGTATTGAATGTGGATCCAGCGGACTGTACATGCGAAACACAGGAAATACTGATGAGCGACGACAAAGGATCTTTCTCAGAAGAAAACCTGTCCAGATATTTGTTGTTTAGTTATTTTTGCATTATCACACACAAACTTGTATATTGAGTTGTGTTTTTTTTATGTATTTAACTTCTCTTCCTCCCACTTTTTTCGAATCTTCTCCATTTTTGTCTTTTACTTCCAAAAGGACGCAGCGCTTGTGGATTAACAAGGACAATTTTTTTTTTAGAAGACTTAGATTATTGAGTCATTTTGGAAATGATCGGACTGGATATCAAGAAGAGTTGAGCAGCTTTGTCCAAACCAACAATGTATTACTGTTGTAAATCCCCCTCTCTTTACATGTGTGATCATCTGCCTCTGAAGTCCATCCTGATTTTTAACAGCGGAGTGTGGATGATCGCCATCTCTGACGCCAGCCCTCCACAACCACTTTAAAATAAGCTCATTATGGACTGGACATTTATCACTTTTTATCAGTCTTTGAAACGACCCGATTTAATAGGAACCTTTTTCTATGACTGGTCTGGTTATAAAAGTTGTTGAAGTTTCCTTTCTGTTATCTCTTTGCTGGTTTTTCACAGGAGAAACTTCCGTTCTCCTCCCGGAGCAGATTCTATGTGTTATCCATTGTGTCCATAGTCAGTTCCTGTATTGATGTGGCATGCCATGTAAATATGCATTTTGGAGTGAGTGCGGAAAAAATAAAGAGGCACTGTTTCATAACGTCAGTGTCACTTTGTCTCTTTTCTCAGCTAAAGGTGGTTGTTATTTTAAGAAGGTAGCATATAATTATATTAACCATTTCATTACTTCTACTTTATGTAATCAAAAACCCTTTTTGTGCATTTTTCTGTTTAAATTAAGTTTGTTTTCCTTATTGAATCAAATGTAACTACCTTATTACAGATAAAACATCTATTGTAAAAAAAACACATCTTGGTTATCAGGACCACGACCCAGGATCCACGACCCAGGATCCACGACTCAGGATCCACGACCCAGGACCACGACTCAGGAACACGACTCAGGATCCACGACTCAGGATCCACGACTCAGGACCACGACTCAGGATCCACGACTCAGGATCCACGACTCAGGACCACGACTCAGGATCCACGACTCAGGACCACGACTCAGGACCACGACTCAGGACCACAGCAACAGGCACAATTTAAAAACAAATAGACTTTATACAGAGCAACTTTATTCAGAATTTCGTCCATGACAGTGGTAAGTCAATTTACTCGAGGCTGTACATAAGTACAATTTTGAGGTTCCTAAGTAGGCCTATTTTTTATTTAATTTTATGTTACTTTACTTCTACTTCACTAGAAATATATTTACAGTTATTATAGGTACTGGTTACTGTTTACTAAAATAAACCTGATGAAGGATATGATGCAGGAGTACAATTAACATTACAATTTTCTTACATGTACAAATAATGTGGTATTCTATAACACTTTAACACGCAACAAGCAATTATACGGGAATACTTTTTTGATTACGTCTTTTATAATTTGAGATAAGATAAGATGGACCTTTATTTATCCCCGTAGGGAAATTCATGTGTCATCATGGCAGCAACAGAATAAGAAGAACCACTGATATTACACATGGAATATACACAGGAAGAAAAAAAGAATAGGTCCCCCGCGGCCACTAGGGGGCCCCCAAGCTGAAAGTTCAGGTTCAGCCTCAATATATTTGGGGAGAATTAAAATTAGCCGTCTTTATTTGTAGACAGCCAAGCCCCCTCCTGTGTTCGGTGAAGCATATATGCTTAAAAATCAAATGTAGGATATAAACACAACTAAACTGCAATGATAGCAAAGCTGTGGCTTGTGTTTGTGGGGTAATAAAGTCCAAATCATCGTTGGGCTGTCACATTGTTGAGAAAATGCTGCATTTATTGACATAGAGGCAGGGCCGTCCCTGGCCAACATGAGGCCCCACGCAAAGTTATATGATGAGGCCCTCTGTTTCGCGAGCGTCAACTGGGGCGGGGGGGCTAGTGGAGCCTCGCAGCGGCGAAACAGTCCCGCGCCACACTAATTGCACCGCATAAGCGCATAGGTGCGCCGCATTTTCGGCTCAGTTGAGGCACCCTCCGCAAGATGAGGCCCCCTCCGCAAGGTGAGGCCCCACGCAGTCTGCATGATCGGCCTGTAGGGAGGGACGGCCCTGCATAGAGGAGCCTTAATGTTTACCTTTTTAATATAATTTGTTGTAAGTTTCAATTGCTTGGTTTTCGTGAAATTAGCCTGTTTTCCTCTTAAAGTGTAACAGATTGATGCATCTCCACAGATCATCGTAAAGGCTTCGGAATCCCCCCATTGTAGTTAAACAACTGTAAAGACTAGGGCCCCCAAAAAGCTAGAAACGGCCCTGCCTGTCAGTCTACCACTGTTAACTTCTTTGTTGTTTTTTTAGTAAAGGTGAAATGTTATGATAAAAAGGAAAACATCTTATCTTTTATAGGAGAAATCTGAATTAAAATACCAAAGCAAACATTGTTTTTATTTAATCATCACGAGTATAGAAAACAAAACAAGCGGATTTCTGATCAGGCGTCTTCTCGGTCGCTCTGTTGTGGGGTCCTCGCTGCTCTTCCTGCTCCACGTATTGAGAAGGAGATCCTCTCTGACAGACAATGACATTTGTTTCGGTTTACCCGGTTTACCTCCACGGTGTTTCTGCTTCATGTCCTCCAGTTAAACCCCGGCTTTAGCTGAGACGCTTTGGACATTTGGACCTCTTTTCAAACGGTTTGTTTTCAGCCTCTTTCCCTTTAATACCCAGCTAGCCTGTTAGCATTAGCATTGTTCCAGTTAATCCTGAACTGTTTACTTTGTGACAACATACAACCCAACAGCTGATGATTTTTTTATTAACTCATGTGTGTGTGTTATTGCACCTGATAAAATACCATGTTATAATAACCAACCTTTTAGCTTTAGCTCGTTTGAGTTAGCATGCTAGCTGTGCACAAATGATGCATTCACGGGATCTATGTTTCCCATGTCAATATTATCCTCCTTAAATTAAACATTAACGCACTTTTCTAGGGGTGCTATGGCCTAAGAGTAGTGTTTTTTTTCCGGAGGTGAAATGTCCAATGTTTGTTTCACTCGATCAATATGTTGATTTCGCCGACAGAGCTTATATATCTGATGATTTACTTGAAATCAATGCATTCAGATTTGTGTGCAAGGGTTTAGAGCAGGGTTGTCAAACTCAAATACACAGTGGGCCAACATTTAAAAATGGGTACTAGTCGAGGGCCGGACTGGTTCAATGTTTATTGGAAAACGTATTGAAATGAACTTATTGCACATATTAAACCTGGAACTAACAAAGCTTAAATTATTGCCTATAAAAACAACATTAAACATTAAATAATCAGTTGTATTCATTTCTTATGGCTCTATCTGCAGCTTTTCCGGAGTCATTTCTTATGATTACATTTTTCCACAGGCCAACAACAGCTTCAAAAAAACTATTTCCCTCAAAGAACAAACCAAACATGCCCTGTTGTCGTGAGAGAAAAAGTGCAGAAGGAAACATCCATTGAAACTCAGTTTGCTGCTCTGTGATGCCAAGCCAGATACTTGGCATCTCATCTTGGGTGCAAGTTCATCAATGTTTGGGGTCAGGCTCTGAGCTGAGGAAACCCTCAGGATTGAGTGAAGGTGTGCGTGCAAGATACCGGTGGAAATGTAGGCCCACAGGATAATTAGAAATGATCTACTTATCCTAATTAGTAATTATCCTGTGGGCCGAAATTAAATCTACCACGGCCCGGATTTGGCCCCCGGGCCTTGAGTTTGACATATGTGGATTAGTGAGTGTGTGCATCAGCAGCTAAAATCCTCTTAAACAATAATAATGTGCATTAGGTGCAATACTTAGGCCATATCACCTTTGCAATTATGTAACTGCAATACTGATACCACTTGAATATGACTGTATTCAATTGTACACTTTGTGCAATAATCTTGTTTTCAGATATTTATCAATTCTAATACACCACATTATATATTGTAATATGCAAATGTTTACATATGTATTGTTGTTTAGATTTTAGTGAAATGTGCACACTTTCCTTTTAAGTTCTTATGTGTATATAATATATATTTATTTTATTCAAAAATCGAGCATTTTTTGCGTAATCCTATTCCCCCTGGGACAAAGTATTCTGATTCTGATATCCTTATAGTTTTGGACTCAGTCAGCAGAAAAGGCTGATGTCATCCTCTAATTGAGCTCTTGTGTTTCTTCCGTTAGGAAACAAAATGTCTTGGTTTGCCGATTTTGCCGGGAAAGCTGAGGACTTCCTGAACAAAGTGGACCAGGGAGCTGCCACTGCTCTGACCATAAACCAGGAGAAAGCATCCTCCTTTTCCTCCTACGAAGAAGAATCACCCGTCAAACCTGAATTCAACCCTGCAGGTTTCAAGACCCATGCACCTGCAGCTCATCATGCATATTCATCCACTGAGGATTCACACAGCTTCGTCTCCGCTGCAGCTGCAAACATTAAGAGATCTGGATCCACGCTGCTCGGTGCTGCGAACACATCCAGTGTCCTCTCTGGTTCTGGAAGCAGCGCCTCCGCCTCCGCCTCCGCCTCCACCTCCACCTCCACCAAGACCTCCTCTGGGTTTGTGAGGCGCAAAAAGAGCGAGCAAGACGTGGACGACGACATGCTCTTTGACTTTCTGAACAGCGCCGACCCTCCGGAGAGCGGCAGCAGGGATTCAAGAAGAGAACTTGTGAAGGTGGTGGTTCCTGTTACAGAACCCCAGAGCCCCACGCCTCCTCCTCCTCCCTCCTCCACCCCTTTCTCCCTCCCATCGGCCCCGTCTACACCCCCCTCCACCAGGGGAGTATCCCGGGCGTCCAGCATGAGCTCACTGTCCGCTCACAGCATCAAGACATCAGACGAAGGCTCTGCTAAAGAATTAAGCCAAGGTACGATCACAGGGCCCGAGGTGTTACAGTCGTTGCTGAAAACATCTCTAGCAGAGCAGGATCGGTCACACGGTTTCATGGCCTCAATTTAAATAAATAAAAAACCAAACCCAAAAAACAAACAATTATATAGAATTGTACTCTTAGGTTATAGGGAATACAACTCTTTGGAAAATACATGTCCTACGTTTCACACCTAGTTGATGATCTGTTTGGGATTTATTTGTAATCATTAGTACTCTTCTCTCTTCATTATTGTCTATCTGTAACAATCCAAAGAGTCTTCACAATCAGAAAGCCTTTATTCGTTCTGCAGCGGGGAAATCCAGGGCGTTACAGCAGCAACGGTTAAGTGCAGATTAAAGTAGAAAGAGTAGAATAGAATAGAATATGGAGGGATGAACCCCTTCTTTAATGGTCACACATGCAGAGCACACAGTGAAATGTGTTCTCTGCATTTAACCCATCCTAGCACCAGGAGTCTAGTACTAGGAGAAGCTATTGTACAGCGCCCGGGGAGCAATGGGAGTGAGGGGGGAAGGGGGATGTCCAGTTGATTTACATGGTGATTTACATGTTATGTAAAGGCCAAGAACACACTAATAAAAGTGCACCTAGATAAAAAATAAGTAGAAAGCTTTTTTTTAAAGTGGGCGTACAAAAGTATTGAAGGAGCCGTTAACAAAGTGTAAATGAATTGTAAGGAATAAATTACATTACATGTTACTTGTTAGTCGCTTTTATCCAAAGCGACTTACATACTCAATACTGTGGACAATCCCCACAGGAGCAATTTGGGGTGAAGTGTATCAGGGACACAACGACATGCTGACTGCAGTGGGGTTTGAACCTGTGACCCCCCTGATCCCAACACCAAGGCTCTATCCACTGCGCCACACGCCCCTAAATAAAGTGTAAATACATAAGTGAATTCAGAACATGAGAATCTGAATCAGAAACAGGTTTTTTTGCCAAGTAGGTTGAGGCATACGAGGAATTAGCCGTGGTGTATTTGGTGCCTACATAAACACAGTTGAAGAGATACAAATTAAGAAAAACAACCCAAAAAAACACGATGATATGTTAGCAGTGGTATTGCACAAACGTACAGGTAATAATATCTGAATAATACCTGTGTTTGTTCTGTCTTCACCCCGCCCTTCAACCACAGACACACCTGAGAGCTCAGACTCCGGCTTGGCTGTCCCTCAGGAGTCCATCAGACAGGATCCTCCTCTTCCTCTTCCTCCTGCTGCTGCTGCTGCCCCCCCCACAGAGGAGCCTCAGAGCCACATCCTGTCCAGCCTGCGTCTGGAGAACCAGCTGCTGCGGAGTGAGGTTTCCTCCCTCAACCAGGAGATGGTTTCAGTCATCCAGAGGGCCAAAGACCTGCAGGACGGTGAGAGACGAGAGCAACCAGGAACCAGAACCAGAATCTGAGCAGGTTCACACATACAAGGAATTTGCTTTTGTGTATATTGTGCATACATAAGCACAATAAGAGGAAATGCATTGTGAAAATAAGAAAAATAAATAGATAACTTTTTTTTCAAAGAATTCTGAGAAAAAAGGTTAAAATTCTAAGAAGTCAAAATAAAAGAAAAATGAAGAAATAAAGACTGAGAAAAAAAGCCAAATCCTTAGAAAAGGTAAAAATTAAGATTAAAGTGAAAATTCTGAAAAAAAATCTAAAGCCTGATAAAAAGTCTCAATTCTGAAAAAAGTCAAATTCCGAGGAAAAAAATGAAATTCTTAGGAAAACAAGTCAACATTTTTAAACAATTCTTAAAAAAGGTGAATGTTGTGAAAAAAGGTTTATTCTAACCTGTGCTCCTCTCACATAGAGTTGAACCACGCTCGTCTCCGTGCCGACCGGAGGAACTCGGAGCAGTCTCAGAGCGACAGGATGTCACGAGATCTCCGGTCGAAGGTTGATGACCTCACAGAATCGCTTTCTGCTAAAGACGCTCAGCTGGCCGTGCTGAAGGTCCGTCTCGATGAAGCCGATCAGATGCTGAAGTCCCGCAGCGCCGCTCTGGAGGAGGCGCAGACGGAGCGGTCGAGGTTTGTTTCCACCTTTTTCTTCTTAGTAAAGGTCACCTATTGTGCAAAACCCACTTGTTCATGTCTCTTCTACATCACCATGTGTGTAAAGAGACTCTGAAAGTTTCAGGAGCAAAGATTCTCTCTCTTTTTGTCCTGATCCATTTATATAAAAACCTGTCTGAAAATGAGCTGATCAGATTTTGGCCACTTTATGATGTCATAACGATGTTTTGGCTTGTGTAACCATTAGCCAATCACCAACCAAGGTAACCCCCCCCCCACCTTATCACCTGAATCTCCTCCTAGAGCACCAATAGCTGCTTTCACACCAAGTACTTTGCTGTACTTAGTGCCTGGAACTAAGAGCAGATCACGTTCACACCGGAATAAGCCCCTGAGGGAAGATTACGCAAATGAGGCTGCTGGCGTCACTTCTTCTTCTTCTGCTTTGGGTTTACTGGCAGGCCGCAAACCACTTCACGGCGTATACTGCCACCCGAAGTCCCCGGCCGGAAGTCCCCGGAGTTGGGGACTGGCTTCAGTAGAAGCTGCTGGGACTCCCAGCAGCTTCTACTGAAGCCTTCCGAGTAAATCGCCAGAACGCAGACACCTCCTCATCTCCACCGCTCCCATGTTTTTTTTTTTGTGTTGCCATAAGTTAGTCTCTCTCCGTTGGTGCGCTGGGCTAATGCTAATGCTAATAATGCTAATGCCAGCAAATACAATGGCGGCTTCACAAAACTTTTCAGAGTTTTACGGGGAATGGTTTGCAATCGAAATTGGTACTTTTTTCTCCCCAGGATAGTACCACCTCTGTAGCAGGCACTACAAATGGGGGTAAAAGTTCCCGGCACTAAGTACTCTTTTTGGTGTGAACGCAAAATAAGAGGTACTAACAGAACTAAACGGGAAAAGTACTCCGGTGTGAACGCGCCTATTGTGTTCTTTTTAACCAAATATCTCTCAGAGGGGCGTGGGGAGGGGCTCCTTATTTTCATCTAAAGTAACAGACAGAGAATCAGCACTTTTGAAACAGGGCTGAAACAGAGGGGATTATGGGATGCTGCAATGATCTGTTTGGGGTTTGGAGCCAAACACTTCAGAGACATTTATGTATATATCTGAGACCTATAATATATTGATGAAAATCAGTATAATAGGGGACCTTTAATGGCTTCAGATGTTATATCTCCTCCTCTGTTCCTCAGGATCGTGCTGGACCACTCGGAGGGCAGCAGCGTGCAGTCTCAGGCTCTGGAGACGATCCAGGAGAGGCTGCGCGACGCGGAGCTGTCCGCCCGGAGGGAGCAGGACAACTACAGACAGATGCAGGTGAACAGGATGCCTCTCATATTTATATCACATAACATATCTGTGTGACATGTATTCACGTTTACTTTACATACATGTCAGTTATTGTTATTATTTTGACTGATACTGCAACAAGGATATAATTTACAATATTGAAGGGAATGATCATTTTTGTATCGTAGATTAATTTGCTCTAAAATATATTGAAATGATCATGTTGAATGAAATGTTATAGCTGGATGTTGTGATACAAATATGTATTGTTCAGCGACTGAACAAATAGAAAACATTTTACTTCTTTATTTTAAATATTTGTTTGTGTGTCCCTAAACGACTATAGTACTTCTTAACTCTGTGTGTGTGTATCTGTGTGTCCCCAAACGACTATTCTACTTCTTAACTCTGTGTGTGTGTATCTGTGTGTCCCTAAACGACTATTATACTTCTTAACTCTGTGTGTGTGTGTGTGTGTGTCCCTAAACGACTATTATACTTCTTAACTCTGTGTGTGTGTATCTGTGTGTCCCTAAACGACTATTATACTTCTTAACTCTGTGTGTGTGTGTGTGTGTGTGTTGCAGGGTGAGTTCGCCGGCCGCCTCTCTAAAGTGGAGTCTGATCGGCAGACGCTGGCGGAGACCGTGACGGCAGCGGAGCGTCGAGCGGCGGAGGAACGGCTGCGAGTCGAAGACATGCAGACGCAGCTGAAGAGCAACAAAGCTGCAGCTGAGGCGGCAAAGATGGAGTTACAGGACTACAAACACAAAGCTGCACGCATCCTACAGGTAACACTGACAGCATCCTACAGGTAACACTGACAGCATCCTACAGGTAACACTGACAGCATCCTACAGGTAACACTGACAGCATCCTACAGGTAACACTGACAGCATCCTACAGGTAACACTGACAGCATCCTACAGGTAACACTGACAGCATCCTACAGGTAACACTGACAGCATCCTACAGGTAACACTGACGGCATCCTACAGGTAACACTGACAGCATCCTACAGGTAACACTGACAGCATCCTACAGGTAACACTGACGGTCACTAGATTTCATTTCTTTACCAAGACTTTTGTTTTTTTGTGATCACATTTTTATTGATTAATACACATGTACAACCAAAAGCACATTTTTCTTTAAAAAATAAATAAAATTACTAGAAGTACATAAGAAAAAGAAAAATTTGACAGCAATTACTTACAAAATATACAAAATATACAAAATACAGAATACGTAAGCCTAAAATAATAACAATAATACAGACAAGCAGAAATAAAACAAACCCAACACACACACACACACACACACACACACCCACACCGACACCCCACACAAACACACACACACACACAACCCAGCACACACACTACACACACACACACCACACACACACACACAACCGACACGGACACCGACACCGACACAACAAACACCGACACACACACACACACACACACACACACACACACAACACACACACAACACACACCACACTGACACTTACCCGACCACCGACACACACACACCGAACCACACACACCTACACACACACCTACAACACCCACACACACACCTACACACACACCCTAACACACACACCTACACACACCTACCACACACCTACACACACACACCACACACACACACACACACACACACCACACACACACACACACACACACACACACACTTGCGGGACAAATGAAGGGATTCTGATTTCTGAATTGATTTATTTCACATCCAGATTTAAAGCTTTTTCAGGATTGCATGTTTTTTATTCTTTTGAGATTCTATTTGTTTTGTTGTTAGGATTTGTTGACAAGCCTGCTCTGTTGTTGCTGATGTTTTTTTTTAGAACTTAATTGTTTTAGTTTCAGACAATAATACAGTACAATATATCTTTCAGTCACATTTTCAGTTTGTCCAGCTGTATCAATACAATCCTTAACAGGTTTCAAGTATTAGACAACCAGTAACAGAGTACCACTCCAGGGCTAAAAACAATTACAAATGTAATAAAGATGGCCAAAAATAATAATGATGGAGAGTAGGGCTGTGCAATTAATCATATTTTAATCGCAATTACGATTTTGGCCTGCCACAATTACGAAAACAACATAATCGAATAAAACAATTATTTTGCTTTGCTTGGGTGTGACAGTGCACTGCAACATATTTGATCTAATTTATTTTGGTCTAATTTATTTGTATTTATCATATTTATATATGATTAGTAGCTTGTGGAAGTGCGCTCCAAAATATTTGTTGATCTTGTTTATTGGTATTTATTATTTAGATATTATTTATTTAAAGTTTTTCAGTTGAATTATACGTTCAGGGTAATCAACAGTTATAAGATACTGTTCAAATTATTATTTGTATTTGTTTTAAAGTTCAATAAATGGATGTTTTCAAAGTCAATGAATAATCGTATTTAATAATCGTGATATCAATTATTGACCAAAATAATCGTGATTATGATTTTTGCCATAATCGCACAGCCCTAATGGAGAGAGAATACAAGTGACGTACAAGAGTGTTGTTGCTGATGTTTTGAATGCCCCTGCAGTCCAAAGAGAAGCTGATCAGCAGCCTGAAGGAGGGCTCCGGCCTGGACTCGCTGGACGGCAGGCGGGGGGGCGGCGGCTCTGGAGCTCGAGGACCTGAAGCACGAGAGGGAGATGCAGAAAGAGGAAATCCAGAAGCTTCAGGGGCAGCTGCACACGCTGCGGATAGAGATCCAGGTGAGACGCTTTGAAGGCACTATATGTCATTTCCTGCCTGTAGGGTTCTCTCTAACAAAACAATAACAAAAGAAAGACTTTACAGGTGAACAGTGCTGACATCAGAGGTCGCGCTAGACTTTTTTCGCTGCCCGTCATTTTGACCGACAGGATCGTATCAAAATCCATTATAACCCGTCGGCCTGTACACAACAAACAAACTCATCCAGAGTTCCTCGCTGTGTGACAGCCGCTCCAATGGCAGGATTCACATCAGTTTTTGAAACCATAACAAAAGAAGAAGAATATGTAGAATATATATCATAGTGAGACATGTTTTCTTTGACCTCAGGATCTGGAGAGCCAGGCGGTGACGGAGGCGGACGCGTGGCGGGAGCAGCAGCTGCAGCTGGAGGAGACGCAGAGCTTTCAGAACAGAGCCAAGAGGGAGGCGGAGGCCGAGGCCGAGCGATACAAACAGGTGACAACTACAGAAAGACAACATTACAAACTGTCTCAGATATACAGAACCAGTCCAAAGTCTGGACACAGCTTCTCATTCTAAGGTTTTATTTATTTTTATTATTTTCTACATTGTAGATTAATACTGAAGACATCACAACTATGAAAGAACACATATGGAATTATCTAGTAAACAAAAAAGTGTTCAACAAACACCAGAATATGATTTTTATTTTAGAATCTTCAAATTAGCCCCCTCTTGCCTTGATGACAGCTTTGCTCACTCTTGGCTTCTCTCAGTCGGCTTCATGATGTAGTCACCTGGAAATGGTTTTCAATTAACACGTGTGCCTTGTCAAGAGTCCATTTGTGGAATTACTTCCCTTCTGAATGTGTTTGAGGCCATCAGTTGTGTTGTGCAGAGGTAGGTTGACTGGTAATCAGGGTGTCCGCAGGGTCTTAAAAAGTATTAAAAGTTGATAAATCAATTTAGTGAAAGTTAAGGCTATTAAAAAGTATTAAACGGCATTTTCCAAGGTATTACATTTTGTAGCTTGTTTTCAATAAGTATATAAATTGTCCAAAGAGGTTGTATTCTACAGTGTGCCTGAATGTAATCATTGCGTAGGTGTGTAGTGTGATTCTGTGTAGTTTATTTATGGCATCCCGTTGGATTTGACGTCTTCTGAACAGGACATCGCACGCTCACGCAGCGTCCACACGGCGGCGTGCGTTGAAGCTTGCCGGTGGGCGTGTCTGAAACTCGGCCAACAACCAATCACATGAATCTCCCGCCCCGGACACACAAGCACGCGGTTTGATTGGCTAGAGCTTGTACTGGCATATGATTTGATTGGCTGCCGCTTCCGTCGAAGCTTCAAAAGTTGAACTTTTCTCAACTTTTGAAGCGAGCAAAGCAAAGCGACAGAACCACAATGCAGTTCGGCAAAGCGTGACGTCACCCCATTCAAAGTGAATGGGAAGAAGCGTTGAAGCTTCAACGCACGCCGCCGTGTGGACGAGCCGTCACTGCTTGATAGCGCACGAAGATCCGTTTACGCCGGTTGTTAAACAACATCGTTATGGGGAAATGCAAGTTTGCGTTCAAATGGTTGGAAGATAAGGAGGAAGGACAATCAATACTGTATATAGTCAATGTGTCGCCAAGGTAACCGGTTAAAACTCCAAGTGGCGATGAGGTCTTAAAATGTATGGAAAGGGTCTTAAAAAAGGTCTTAAAAGGTTTTACATTTGACTTCAGGATTCCTGCATACACCCTGGGTTCTGTATATTTCATGAAACTCCTGATCAAACTGATTGATTTATGTGTGATGTGTTTGTGTATCTAAAGGAGCTGCAGTACCTGGAGGAAGAGCAGCATCGAGCCAAAGCCACGCTGCAGAGCAGGATCAAAGACAGAGAGGATGATATCCAAAAACTCAGGAACCAGGTCAGTCGCTTTATACAAATGATGATTATACAATGGATGTAAAGCCAGTCCATCTTCTTTGGCCAACATATGCTCTGTGACACATTGGGATGCAATCAATGTCAGTCAGTCAGACTTTATTGTTATAGAGACTTTCATACAGGTTGGAGCACTTCAAAGTGTTTCACAGAAGACTGACAAGCTGGAAATAAGACAGACACGTTTAAAAGAAAAAATTGAAAAAACACAGTTTCAGACCAATACACAGGAGACAATAAATTATAAAAATGTAATAATATAGTATTAAATATATACAAAAATAGAGAAGTAAAACCGTACTATACAACTTAAATACCACTCTTAATCAGCGACATTAGTGAATTGATATTTCAGTTTTAATGTAAAGGTTTCAACACTTCCAGCAGCTCTCAAATCCTTAAGCAGACTATTCCAGTGGCTCAAAACATGAACTAAAAAACCAGGGTGATGTCTTTTATATGGTCCGTCAGTCAAAAGCAAAAATATTTACTTAAATACGGATTTAAAAAATTGAGAAAAGCAAGAAATATCCATAATTGAGAGCCTGAAAACAGAATTGCCTGACAGTTTGTGAATGACAAATGACTTTCATCGCTGAGCAAAATAGTTGTCGACCCACTAATCATTGCAACCTCAATGCCATTTCTACCACTAATGGGGCGAAGCCTGCAAGCTAGTTCAGGCAGTCAACTCGAGCACCAATGATACATTAACACGTGACGCGTCTCTCTTACAACCAACCAACCAAACACAATCTCCTTAACATGCCGCTCTATTTAAGCCTCGCTAATGCTGCTCGGTCACATTGCTGATGCGTTCACGTGCTGCTCGCCTGCCCCCCCACCACCCCAGCTTCCACCCCAGCTTCCACCCCAGCTTCCACCTGAAGGCTCAGGGATAGTTACAGTATCTAATCATCACTCAATGTTCTATGTAAATCTGTGGAGTGATGAGGCCCGAGCCTAGACGCCAAACTCAACTATATGCTGCTTCTAATAAACATGTTAAGAACACGTGAGTTGTCTGACTGAAATAACTAATAATACCTTTATTATTCCCACAGAGGGGGAATTTACATTGTAACAGCAGAAAAGAGCCAAAGACAGCTTCATGTTACCTAAGAAGCATGCATAACAAAAAGTCCTAAGGATTAAAAAAAAGAAATTATGTAAAAAAAGTTACACATTTTACAGAAATAATTAAAAAATTACACATTTTACAAAAATACACACCCTGTAACATTCTGAGGATTTAGCAGCCAGGTATATATTGCACAGTTTTTAACGGCATATATATATATATTGCACATATTGCACATCATCACTTTAACACCCCCCCCCCACACACACACACACACACACACACACACACACAAAAAATCCAGCACCAGTCACTTTTACGCTGCTATGGAAATGTGTGTGCTCCCATTTGCACTATGTACATCATTAATTGAAGTAAACGTTTATTTTGTGTTCTTTTGTAATTATTGAGTGTTCTTGCATTTTAATGTGTGTTTTTTTTTATACCTCGATCTTTCTGTGTGTACAAACATATTTTGAGATTGACAATAAAGTTGACTTTGACTTTGACTAGTTGGTATTTAACAACAAGAGGTGTTAACATGATGTTGCTGATGGCCTGCAGCTGACCAACAAGGCTCTGAGCAGCAGCAGCCAGACGGAGCTGGAGAACCGTCTGCACCAGCTGACGGAGACGCTCATCCAGAAGCAGACCATGCTGGAGGCTCTGGGGACGGAGAAGAGCGCTCTGGTGTTTCAGATGGAGCGGCTGGAGACGCAGCTGAAGAGCCGGGAGGGGGGGCACAGCGGGGGGGCCTCCATCAACATGAGCAACCTCGAGGGGCCAGGTAAGATATCGGTTCGATGTGAAAGTGTTACATATATTTTTTTGTTAATTTTAGAGCGAATGGGTGCTTTTATTTCCAGGACTGCACCATTTCAAAGGGGAATAAACAGACTTTCCAATGGTATAAGATTTAATGCCAAGAAGCATTGTTACAACAAAGGAGTCATCTACCAAACACATTACATGTCACTTGTCGATTTTGGCCGTCGATGGGCGTCAGGCCGACGATGAGCGTCGACACGCCCTACTCAGATTGGTGTCCCCCGCACCTTCGTGTCTTTTCAGCCGGGTTAGGGTTAGGGTTAGGGCAAAATAAATCACTCTGATTGGCTGTTCAGCTAGCGAATCAGTGCATGAGAAGCGAAATGGAAGTGAGGGACCCAAACAAACTATTAAGAAGGCAAATCTGAGATTTCATTTCAGCTCTCGACACAGGTTCGGGAAAGCCCCATGAGCTTCTCGCTGTAGAGTGAAAATGGAACGCACACGCTATTTGTTGTTTGTTTATATCACGCAGTCTGTTCTTCTTCTCTCGGTGTATCACGCAGTCTGTTCTTCTTCTCTCGGTGTATCACGCAGTCTGTCTTCCGGTTGTTGCCTCTTTTGAATGACGAATACACACTACCGCCGCCTGCTGGTAAGGAGAGGTATTGCCACTCACGCATGCGCAGTTCGTACGTGCTTCTTGGCCGTCGGTCGAAGTCTTTGCGGTGTGTTCCAGTGCGACACATGGCCAAGACGCAGGAGACGCGAGGCGACGCAACAGTCGGGGGTCCGTCTGTGTCAGTTCTTTGGTGTCAGCTTGGTGTGTCCGGGCCTTTAGACGCTTTTATCCAAAGCGACTTACATACTCAATACTGTGGGCAATCCCCACAGGAGCAATTTGGGGTGAAGTGTCTCAGGGACACAACGACATGCTGACTGCAGTGGGGTTTGAACCCCCTGATGCGAACATCAACGCACTAGTCCACTGCGCCACACGCCTCTGCACATTTCTTTACTTTTTGTGCTTAGCTTATATAAAAATTATCTTGATTTATTAATATAAATGTCTACATTGGGAGCAATGGGCATGAATCAAATAGATTTAATCAATAATTATAATTTCATTTCCTAACCCTGTGCCTGTTTTTATATATTTTTATATATTTTATGGACAATTGTTGTAACGCTAAACATTAATTATATAATTAGAATACAATCCAGGTACGATTTTTGTTAAATAAGAAAGTGTTACATATATTCTTTGGATAATTGTGCCTTTATTTTCGATGTATGGGGAGAAAGAGATGATGACATGGAGACATAATTCCGCTTTCAAGTGTTTCACATTTAAAATGCAAAATACTAAGTATAATTTACATTTTCAATACTTTTATACCTGTATTTGATATCCTTTAAACATTTATAGAATATTTGAGGTATAAATCAACAATTTATCGATTTATTTCTGCAGAAATAAAAGAAAATGTTGGAATCTATGGGAGTTTTATGAATATATATATATATATATATAAATAATCTGGATTTATTAATATCAATGTCTAAATTGATTGATTTATACTGTAATTATAATTTAATTTCCCCACACTGTGCCCGTTTTTATATATTTTATGAACGAGTCCTGTAACATTAAACTTAAATAATATAAGAACAGTAAAAGAAAAAGAAAAACCGCAATTCAGTGTTGAAGTGTGTGTGGCGCAGTGGGTTGTGCGTTGGTGTTCGGATCAGGGTTCAAACCCCACTGCAGTCAGCATGTCGTTGTGTCCCTGAGACACTTCACCTCAAATTGCTCCTGTGGGGATTGTCCACAGTATTGAGTATGTACGTCGCTTTGGATAAAAGCGTCTAACAAGTGACATGTCATGTAATGTAATGAAGTCTGTTACTTTCCTGAACAACAACATCTGATTCACCCTGTTGGTGCAGTTTCCTCTTTGTGTGTTAGATTTTCTTTATTTCTGCCAAATTCTTGCATTTATTTCTCGCTTTTAGGATTCACTTTTAATTTCCCTTTTACCTTCATCATATATTATTCTTACGTTGCCGGTAACTTTCTTCCCATGTGTTGTATCTAAGCAGCTCGTCAGAGAAACGCCCCGGTTCTCTTCAGTGATCAGGAAAGTCCCGGAGTTTACGGAAAAGTACGGAAAGCCGCGAGCTCCATCGACCGGTTCAGGTAACTCTTCACTCTAATTATATTTAATTACATGGTTCAAATGTGAGTTATGATCCCCAGATATTAATGAACACATGTTGTTGTTTCAGCATCAGACTGGGTATCTTCTTGAGGCGTTACCCTATGGCCAGAGTTTTCGTTATCCTCTACATAGTGAGTATGACATGCTATATTTTGGGCTATACCAGTAAACACAAACCAGGCCTGTGATCACGTATAACTTCACATGTAGAACAATTTATTTTGTCTTGTGTATTATATATTTCTACTTAAGTATTGTGACATGTGATGATTCTGTTCCTGTCTATGGAGTACGGATGTAAATTAGCATTTTTGCTAACTCAAGCATTTTTACATCATGTAATTTATACTGATGTTCATTAGTGCCCTGTCCCTATTAATGAATAAAAGAAAGTGTATTTAATTAAATGAAAGACTTATGTAATCCGATGAATAACTTTAGTCAAAATAATTTTGTTCAGGTTTCTTTTTATTTAAAAAAATGTTCTATATTTGTTTATTTTCTACTATGCCTTGTTGACATGCTGCTCTCACAAACACATTTCCCAATTTGGGATCACTTATCCTATCTCAATGTTTTAAAACAAAATGCATTTGGAACAGCCCATACTATTTTTCCATCGTTATGAACCCTTTAACAACATTTTCCCTTCTTCTTCTTCTTCCAGGCGCTGCTGCACCTCTGGGTGATGGTGGTGCTCCTGACGTACACTCCAGAGATGCACACTCCAGAGATGCACCACGGCCACCCTGATGGAAGATAAGAGGATTTTAAGAGTTGGTTATTCTCCCTTCGCTGTGAGGATGGTATAAGCTGCTGGATTTTGGGCTCTGGGTCCTGCCTCTCCCTGTTTTGCACAGAAATGCTATGAATTAAAAGACATTTCCTCCGATTTATTCTTTATTTTTTACAAGTGAAGATCGATAGCTGACATTGAGTTTTAAAATAATTAATTACAGAGGGATTATATGTTATGTGGACGGTCTTCTGACAGGATATTAAATCAAAAAAGTGATTTCACATCTGTTTTTCTCCTCATCTGCTTTCAGACCTCTGGCCTCTTGAGAGATTGTATTTAACACTATAAAAAAACTTTTAATAAACAAGTTAGAAGAAACGACTCAGACTGGCACTTTTTAACAACATCACTTAAAGGTCACCTATCATGCTATTTTTAGGCAATAGCATAGGTCTCAGATATATACAAATATAGAAAAAACATGTCTATGAAGTGTTTTGCTCAAAATACCAAACAGATCACCCATTCTAGCCATGCCTCATATCCCTGTATTTCACTTCCTGTTTCAAAAGTGCTGATTTTGGGTATAAAGCTTTAAAAAAAATTAAAAAGGGGGCTGAGCTCATGCGGGACCCGGCAGCTACTGTCTAAACTAAATACTGCCGTGATGAAACGCCATATCATGGATTATCAAGGATTATTTCTGAAACAGTATGGAGCTCAAAGGCTTTCTCTCTTGCCGGTTATACCACAAGGTGAGTTCCTTTTTATTTCCTGCTTCTTCACACACATGCTCTCCAGTACAGGTTAGCTCTGAGTGTTAGCGATGCTAATGTAAACACAGACCATATTACTTCCAAAACAGTCGGGCATTGTTTCTGATAACAACGTTTCTGATAGTGCCGTGGGTCCACATGTCCAATATTACGTCATATCGGACGCAAATCTGGATCAGCTCCGTTGTAGCCCCGTTTTTAGAGATTTGGGTATGGAGGAAAAGAGAGGGTTTTATTTTCTGACGCTGCGTGAGTTCCCCGACACACCGGGGACACATATTTATATATAAAAGACATCAAAAAGTGCTTTTTGCATGATAGGTCCCCTTTAAAAGGTCATGTAGGTTTACCGGTCATTATGCAACCTTCACTAAATGTAATGCAGATTTCACCAGACTAATGATATATAAATGTACAGGTGCAATTGCAAAACATAGTAGCATATAGCATTATTGACCTTTGGTACACCTTTGTATGTTTCTGTATTGGAATAATGCCTATAAATTCCCCCCTGTTAATTTGTATTACATTTACTGTAACAGTCGTTTTTTGTAATTGTATGTTGGATGTTTTATAAATCTGGGAAATTATTTGTTTTCTTGCTGGGAGTCTTCGAGAGAATATATGTCTTTATTAATTTAAACCCAAATT